GTAATTCAAGAAAGGTGTGAATGAGTGTGAGCTTGGTGTGAAGAATTCTCCGTTATTGGTGTTCGGATTTAACTACACCATTTAATGTGTATATGAGAGCTTGGTTTAATGTAAACTTGAAATAAACATTTGTCTTGTTAGCATTTATCTGAAAGTTTCGTGCGCGATTTTGTAGTGGTGTTCAATACTGATGCTTTTTTCTCCCCGTACGAAGAACAGCTATAGTTGATTATAAAACGCACCCCATTCATAAACTTGGTTTCGTGTAAGACAGAATCTTGCAATCGAACTTCCGCTGACGCCTAAATCTCTTTGTTTGGATGACAATGAAATCGTTACAATCTGAATTTCTGGTAATATTTTCGACGATTCGAATGAATCGTTAATCACAATTTTAAAAAATTTTTGACAATCTAGTTTGTTTAAATTTTAATTAGAACATTGAACTGGATGCGATGGAAATTTTAATCGTTTCTTCACTGCTTCAAGCAGAATTTATATCACCATTTCATCATCGAATAGAATTCATCTGAATTCAATATTTCGTCCACTTTCAGACTTGTTCGAGTGCTGAAATTTTGATTTGTGTGAATAATGCCACTGCAAATACAATTACTTCCTAACAGTACGAGCAAAATATATCGACATTTTATCACTGAATGAAATTTCGCTCACTTTCCAAACTCAACAAACTAACAAAACAAAAAAATGAATAAACAAAAATTAAAAAAATTAAAGTTTTTTAAGTGGAATAAAAAAAAGAGGAAATAATTCTATTTTTGTGGCACTTAAAATTAAAAACGCATCGTTTCATTAAAAAACTTAAATCATCAAAGAAAATTTCCACACACCTCTTACAACGTCTGTCGTTTTTCCCCAAATGGATTTTGCAGCAGACGTTTTTTCTGTCTAGCTGCTAGTCAGCCTTCCAACATTCTGCTAATTGCAAGTTTCCATTGTTTCATAGTCAATAAAATTTATTTTTATTTTATCGCCAAAGTAGATTTATAGTAAGTCAAAATTTTGACCGTTCTTCATTTGCATATACTTTAATTGGAACTCAGATAAGGGGACATTATTTTGATAGCTTCCTAACCTCTAAAAGCTGTCATTTTATCGCCAATCGAAATTTCGACCTCTTTCCGACTATCTAGTATGATCAACCATAGCTTTGTGCCTGCTGACAATACAAGTTTAATCCACTTTTTGACCACTACAAGCAGAATTTGTAATTACATACTTATTTTGAAATTGTTTTTCCTTTTATTTTTCTTCGAATAAATTTAATTGAAGAATTTTGAGCAATACAGCGATGAATCTTATTTTTTTCCAAAGCTTACATTTTTACATCAAACTTTACCTTAATGTTGTTCACAGGTAGGTACTTAACAAGCTCCTAAAATTTCTACTAAAAATGCACAAAAACATTTTTTTCTTGTAAGGAAATCGTGTTTTTTTTTTATCTTAATAATGTCCACCTGCACAATTTGAAAATGCAGCTTATTTTAAAAATGTGGCTCATCCTCAAGCATTTTAAATAACAATATTTTGCTTATAAAATTGTTGTAGTAATTATAACTAACTTATTTTCATCTGCACGAATATTAGCAAAATTATGTTGTTAATATGAATTCAGACTATGATAATATGCATGACTATCAATAAATTGCCAAAAGCAATTCAGTAACAGTGGATCAAATTTTTTGGTGTACAAAATATTTGTAATATGTTCAAATTGTTCTTGTAAGTAATTTAGGTGATATCATTAGGAATATTGAATAAATTAAAATTCAAAATAATGCTATCTATATGAATTAAGCATAAGTACGAAATAATATTATTAATGTAAATTCAATATTAGTGCAAAGCTAAAGTGATTGTCCCTTTTCGTAAAAGCATTTCACTTTTTATCGATCAAGTAATATGTCTACATTTTTTTTTTCTCCCGAGAATATACGCATATAGAATTTCCGAAGCAACATAGCTTTTGGGTGCTCTAAAATTAGAAAGCTATATTTAGCTTTGTTTCTTACAGAAAATATCCATTTAAAATATATATTGCCAAATTTAAAGGTTAAATGTAAAGAAATACCTTTGAAAACGATCACCCTTAGCAACGCAAAGCATTTATTATCTAGGTTTTGTCCCTTCATTTAAGAGACCCGCTTTCTAACCAAAATCTGCTTCTTTAAAAAAAAAATTTTAAATTACAACAATAAGATTTCAAAGTATTGAGGTTACTAAAATTAAGGTCTCGACGTTTCCAATAATCTTTTTTAAAGAATTACTCTTTAACAAAAAAAAAACATTCAAAACAAATGTAGTTCAATGATTTCTTTTAAAATTGATGTTTGTATAAATGCATTATAAAACAGTACATTAATTTTTCCATAGAGAAAGTTGAATATCTGATATAATTTAATTTTATTAAAGAAAAAAGTGCATTTTTCAATTAATATATTATTCGAAGATTTTGTTATTTAATTAAGTTCTTATTCCACTAACGTAAGGAATAATTAAGTTATCATCAACAAATAAAAACTCAAAGAATAAAATTCGTTACCAAAAAGCCAGAATTTCTGCTGAAAAAGGTTCTGCCTTTTTTTGCAAGGAAAAAAGTCGGTTTATCTTATAAGAGCCGTTCATTAAATATTACGTAAGGTCTCCTACTTTGTAAGAAGAAATTACACTTTCCTTCCCATGCTTACGTAAAAAAAGTCGCAGCACTCATTTTGTAAAATTTTGGCTCGCATATTCTTTAGAAAATTTTTGTGTGATCTTTCTGTGGTTAAAGCTTTTGGCCTATAAAATTTCTTGAACTTTTTTAACTTTTTGATTCCTCAAATGTAACTTTTATTTCAAATGGGAATATCTGAATTTAATCTGAATTTAATTAATTTTAATTTTTAATTCACATTAAATTAATTTTATATCTGAATTTAATTTTCTTCGAATTATTTGGTACTTTTTTTTATTATTTTTACTTTGGTGGCCGCAATCTGGGAAATAACGGTTCCAATAGTTGAGTTAGAAAAGCGATCGACAGTTAATTTCACTTTCGACATGACTCGGAAAGGCTTTAAATTAATCAAAAACTTTTGCCCGCAATTGCAAAATTTATTTATCGAAATATAATTTTATATAAAAAATAGATTTTAATAATTATTTATCAAATTTTTTATTACTTTAATGAAAAAAAGGTTCTAAACATTGTTGAATTGTAAGGTAAGCAAATTTTTACTTCATATTAAATTTTGTAATAAATACTAAATGACAAAATACAAAATTTGATCAAAATCGTTCACTTTTTCTGAGTGAATGAAAAATGAAGGTTAAAAAAGGAGCAGATTTCAAATTTTATAACTCAGAAACTATTCGGCCGATTTTGCTTAAATTTTGTATTCTGTCATTTAAAATGCCATAGTTTAAAATAATGTAAAATTTTGCATACCTTACAATTTTTAATTTTTTTCTACCCCATGACATAAAAGGAATAATAAATAATTGTTTTATTTTCAAGATATTATCCTTGAATAAACGAATTTTATAATTGAGTGCAAAATTTATTTGATTCGCTTAAAAAGTTCTCGATATATGGTGAAATACGCGAAAACTAAAATTAACTTCAAACGGCCTAAATTTTTGAGACCCAATTTTTCAGCTAATCTCATATTTTGATAGTCATACATTCAAATCAGTCGATAAAAAATTAAGTTATTTCAGAGGAAGTACGTTTTTGTGTCTGATTCCGTAACTTAATTAGTAGTTAGTTAATTGGTAGTTAGTTATTTAGTAGTTAGTTAATTAGTGGCTAGATAATTAGTGTAATTAAGGTCACCGCTTTTCACCATTAAGATCGGGGGGGGGGGGAATATGACAATCTAAAGTTCCATGATAAATCATCAAGAAAAAAATCCTTATAAAAGTCATTAAGACTTGTCCATCATCTGCGGGAACACATTGCCTCACCAAAGGGCACATATGCCCCACAACGCGCTGTCTCCATCTCTTCCCTAAATTATCCAGTTTATTTATTTTTTGTTGATGAAAATAGGACATAAGTCTAAAAAGTCATTAAAAATTATCTACCATAGGAGAGTACACATTTCCCTTCAAGAGAGCAAAGGCCCTTATAAAAAAAAACCAACTATCTCTACACCCCCCCCCCTCCTAACACACATTTTCACATGATTAAAATCCAATCTACATAGCCTATTTTTTTTCTTCTTAAAATTATTATTTTCTTATAAAAAGTCACTAAAATGATCTATCATGTGAATAAGGCATTTCTACACCAATCAAAAAAATAAATGTCCCCTAAAAAAACCACTAGGTCTACCTCAACCCCCCCCCCCCNCCAGACAAGACTGAAACTAAAAATCCAAGCTATCCAGCAGCTTAATTTTTTCATTAATATAATCTTTTTTTTTTCTGATAAAAAACAATAAAAATACTCCTTCCTAGGAAGACATACGCTCTCATTCCCTTTCAATGCACCCTCCCCTCAAAGCCACCTGTTGTCTTCGCTCCTGACCCTCCCACTCTTTCACTGACGTAAGTTAAAGTCCAAGCTATATCATTTAGCAGTGGCGACAACTCCGTGAATCTGCGGATCCGAAGCAAAATGAATTCTGTAATGCGACATCTGTCGAAGTTCACAAAACTACCGCAAGAGGAGCTCCATCTATTAGATTGATAGTTGCGCGCAACGAGATCCAATAGGATAAGCAAACGATAAGAACAGTTCACAGTGTCGGAGTTATCAGGTGGTTGGTCGGTTTCGCCGAAACGGGAAAAAAAGGAGAATGTTTATCGTGGTTAGCCTATCGGATATTCAGTGTGGTGTGTAGCAACTGGTCATTTATTGGGGAGGGGGGGAAATTGCATTTTAATGTTTTTTTGTTATGTAAACAAACTATTTCTTCTCGATTTTCCTTTCAAGCATGATAAATCGGGAGTGCAAATCCTTTGGTAAAGCTTACTTATTATTTGAGGAAAGTCATTCATAAAATTATTAACACATGTGGATTGTGCATAATAATATCAAAATATTTCGCGGAAGGAAATCTTCCGTGTTGACTTAATTCTGAATAATATTATTGAAGTTTTGTTTTATTTTATAATGAAGACGATCAATATCATTTTATTATTCATAATTTAATTAGAGCCGTTATTATTTATTTACACGTTGTTTTTTGAAGTGGCGACTGCTCTCCGGACATTATTTTTAACTGATATAATTTTAAAGGCACTTTAAATACGAAAAGAATTATTAAAAAAGCGGTTTGTTAACACACTCATTAATGCAGTAAATGTATGAATAATTAAACAATCTCACTTATTAATGTAGAAGGTACATATGCACTGTTTTTTCAGTCTTTTATTATCCTGTGCTCTATGCATGTTTTGTTCCTGGTTTCTTGATGATTTTTTAAAAATTGTACATTTTGTAGTGTAGACAAGCTCAAGTTTTTATGCAACATATACTTATCATTAGTGTTATGAATAAAATAAATTCTTAAATTTATTTTCTAGAAGGCTTTTAATTTACAGTTAGTTATTTTCTTTCCTGTTGTAAAAACTCTAAATTTTTCAAAATCATTATTTTATCATTGTTTAAATCTTTTAGTGAAACTAAAAAATAGCTGCATAGAACAAAAGTATATATACAAGAGAAAAAAAATTATTAAAATTTTACTAAAATAAAAATAAAAAAAAACTTCTTTTTTACCCCCTTTTACTTACTTCTTCCTTTTATTTAAAAAGATATAATAAAGATTCTAGTAAAACTTGAAATATGTGCTTGTATATGCCATTGTAATGTTTATCTGAAAAAAAGAAAAGCATAGTTTTCTGAAGGATATTTAATTTTTTTTTTTTTTTTTTTAATTAATTGAAAATTATGAGAATGGGTTGTTTTTTTTTTTAAATATAACTTTTAGCGTCAATATCAATATAAATCATTTTTGAATTATTTAATCCTTTTAAAAAATTTCTTATTTTAGAAAATTGTAAGAATTTTATAGCATTCTTCGATTAAGACTTTAGGTAAAGGCTTTGAATTTTTATTGTTTTATAGTAATGAGTGAGTATTGTTCTTGAGGTAATATAATGAGGATTTAGACAATTATAGTATTTAATACTTTAAATTTAATAGTGTTTCTCACAATTAGTAAGTATTTCAAACACTTAAAATTTTATTAGTAAACATGTCATCACTTTAACAAACTTGCTTACAAAGTTAAACATCAAAAACAAATTTTGAAATTTAGTAAAGGTAAATAGAAATAACATTCTTTAATGAAATATAATCTGTAGTATAATGTGTTTTAAATTTGTTGATTATGAGTTATTTGCAAAATTCACTTTTTGGCATAGAAATTTGATTAAAAAAATTCTAGCTGGATTATTGTCTATTGACTTTTTGTCATAACATTAGAAATAACTCTTAATTGATGATTAAATTTTAATATTGTGTTCAATAAAAAATATTAGGTGAATTACTATTTGTTTACTTTTGGACATGGAAAAAAAATTTTAAATTGAGGAAATTTTAATGTTATAACTAAAAGGCAATTATAGACGATTTGCTATTTATTGATTTTTGACAATAATTACCAAATCATCAAAGTTAATAATGAAATTATAATATTGCACTTAATAGGCGATTTTACGTAGTTGTTGCCATGAAAAAAGAAATAATGAAGTTTTAACATAAAGGTTAGTTGGAAGACGAATTACTGTTTGTTACATATACCCAATAGTTTGAATTAAAATAAACTCTGCTCTATGAACTATGTTGCTAGAGTGGTTCTGAAAAAGATGTTAGTATTGTTATTTTAATTATTAGCTTATTATGTAATTATAATATGAATTTGGTTGTTCAAGGAGAAGTGAATTTCATTAGTTTTGTTTGTTCAACATCCGGAAATTGTTATTTTTTAGAGTAACAATTTATAAAGCCATCAAAATATTAAAATAAATCAAAATATCAATTTATCTCCTTTTTTTTCCCTACATAGTTTTGAAAATTTTGTATTATTGAGTAAACATACATTTTGGATGTATGCTAAAATTGTCATAAAGTTTTGGTCACAACCAGGTTTTAACAGAGAAGGCATTTTTTTTTTCTTTCTAAAAATAAATAAACAACTTTGAAGACTGAGTGCATAAACCGAGGAGTTTCTGTTTAAAATTTTTTGTTGTTTGACACAGGCAGGCACACATGAAAAGTGTGTGCAAAAACTGGTGTTCAGTTTGTACACATTTTTATCAGTTCTCAAAATTTTAAAAAAGTTAATTGCCTGAAAATTTAAATATCCAATATTTTTACATCTTGAGTTTATTTTAAAATAAAAACATTACTTCTTAAATTAATGGATATATTTTAGGTTTTCATGTTAAAATTAACTTTAAACCATACAATTATAAGCCACACTATTACTCATGGTAAAATTTTTTGTATCCAATTTTTATTGTTTTAGAAATTAATAACATGAAGTAGTTTGTGCAGACATCATTATTATGTCATCATAATTTATTTATTGACATTTTCAGTGATTTTCTTCTGAATTGGAAAGATATGTGGCATATCATAAAAAAGACAATTGTGGTAATCTGACATCTTAGAACAACAATAGACTAGAAAGGAAAGAAATGAATATAAAATGTAAGCTTTATTTGTTTATAATTATTTATAGTTTTCGATATCGGAACTTTTAAAATAAGAACTATCAATTTTTCTACTAAGCAATCAAAAAGAGGTCTGTATCAATGTTTATTGAATGAACATTGATTGTTTTTGGAAACATAGTTTATGTATCTTCTATAATTATCTAATTGACACACTTGTAGCAGAACTGTCCTTTCTGCATCAATTTAAATATCTAATAAATTGAACTAAAAAAATTAGTTAGTGATGTAAGTCTAAATAGTATCTTTTATTAAATATCATGACTATTAATATGACTATTAATATTATACTTTAGCGTAGCATTAATAGCTTTTTTTAAAATCACTCTCTTACATACTGTCAAAAATTCATTCTGACAATAAGTTTAAATTCCAGATACAGGTAAAACATCTGCCCATTTTTATCTCTTTTTTTGGCCTTGCTTTAAATTGTAATTTTGTTTGTTAACAATAACTATGTGATAATCAAGTTTGAGATTTTCTCCAGAAGAAAAGATTTCTTCCAGGCCACCTGAAACTAAGAATAACTTATATTAATTTTTTGGCCTTGAATATTAAAAGAGATTAATATATTACCAGAAAGTTGAAAGTTTTTCGTATCTACTTAAAAAAAATAATAATAAGTACTTTAGTGTAATTGTTTTAGTTTTATGCAGAATTTTAAAATCTGTATGTAATATGCTGTAAAAGTTTGTGCATTCATACTTAATACTATATATATGATTTGTTGGTTTGATTATATTATTAAAATTAGGTTTCACTATGCGCTTTTTTTTATAAAACAGTGAAAGAAACTACAATTGTTTTAATTTCTCAAGAAATTTATGAAATTTATATTTCTTTTGGATTGTTGCTTTTTGATTTTCTTTTATTTAAAAATGTTCTGTTAAATAGCTTACTTTTATTATTCAAACTCTTAATTATGTATATATATATATATACAGTATTTATTTTTCANTCATTTTCAAACATATATATATATATTGTAGAGAAAACATGGAAAAATTACTGAACAATGAAGAAAGAGAATAAGAAAAATAATATAAAAAATCCGGGAGAAAAAACTGGTAAAGGGAAAGAAAAATTAATTTTCTAAATTCTGGGAAATAGACGATATAATCTTTACATCAGCTCATGCAATTATATCTGCAGAAAGGAGTGCTTTCTAATACTGTATCAATGTAGCCAAAGCAAAATATATCAATACAATAGTGTGAGGAGCACTCAAAAAAATTTACAGCAAATAAAATAGAACACATTAAGTAAAAATATGACGTAAAAGCAGAAAATAAAATATAAGGATATAAAATATAAGGGCATAAAAATGTTTTAGACCCGTATAACATGCCATAATGTTTACAAACGAACTAAAACACTTCACAAATGCATCATTTTTAAGAAATGATGCAAGAACAAATTTAAACACATTTTGATTGCCCCAAAACTCAAATAAAGCATTTTTTAACTATGCGTAATTAAAAAAAGAAAATCATTTGAGATGCTAACCAAATGTAATCCTCAAATAATAAACTAATCATCAAAACGATGGAAGTTAATTAAAATAATTAAACTAAATAAACATAAAGGCATAACAAATATAAACAAAAATCAAAAGATAAGAATTATTTTGTCAAATTAAACAGTTATTAAAACATCTTTCAATGCCCTACCTAAATTTACCTAAAATTTTCATTGGAACGTAGAAAAATAGATTTCAGTTCCCTTTTTAAGTTTTTTTGATGATAAACTATTCTAATTATTGGTGTTTTCATGATAATCAATTACTATTTGTAGAAAAAAAAATGCACACTTTATACAATAGAGTATATTTATTTTAAAAAGTATATAAGTTGATGTTGTTTATTCTTAGCTTTTTTTAATACAATTTATAAAAAGTTAGTTTCATGTGGGCCCCATGAGTGCCTGGGGCCCACGGGCACTGCCCGGGTGTGCCCATGCATATAGTACTGCCAGTAGCGAATTCAAATGAACTTACATGAACGAGAAATTTTTCAAGAATGATTTTAAATATTTTCGTAACAAGATTGCCAGATTACAAAATATGAAAACAGAAGTGCAAATTGAGGTAAAAGCGTCAATAGAGGAGTTTTGTTTTATAATGCGATCTTACTGCAGTAGGGAAGGGCGTTTCATTTGTTAGTTACCAAGGATGGTCCCGAAAATGGATGTGCGCTAGGTAATATTATACTGGATAATTTAAAGAAGTTGACAATTAATAATTTTAGAAAATCAACTTTTATTAAGAGTAAAATAAAATAGAAAAAGAAAGAAACATGAATTCCCTGTTTTGCACATGATTTTAGCCATAGATTTGCCCGAAATAAATTTGCACATGGTAAAAATTATATAAATTAGCAAAGAGGTTTTTTAGTACATTTATTTACAATAATATACTATTAACTCAATGATTTTATATGTTATATAATTACTTTTGTTGGGTATCTATTGTTTTTTATCAAATTTTGAATGAGTTTGTCGATTTGTTTTTTGGATAAATAAACATTACTACATATTCTTTTGATTCTATTCATTTGATTAAAAATGGTATTTAAATAAATGATATTAGAATCATTAGAATTCCAAGTAATTAGTTTATTTATAATAAAATTAAAATAATTTCTTTTATCGTTTAAATCTACAAAGCAGATATTTTGAACTTTTATAATACCCAAATCCAAAAAATTGTAATTAATATTATCATCATGATTATGAAGCAAGACTAATTCCTCGGGGTAAATATTATTTAATAAAATAGTATAATCTTGAAAAAATTAAAGAGAATTAAATCATCAATAAATCTAAAAACAAATTTAATATTAAGAGTATAATTTTTTTCATAATGCAAAAATAGGTTAGCTAAGCGAGATGAAAAATTAGATCCTTGTGGTATTCCATCAATTTGAAGAAAAATATCTTTTCCATTGTAAGGATAATTATTAAAAAGACAAAAATTCATTAGAATTTCCCAATAATCAAAGTCGCAATTAAGGACATTTTTAAAATCCTAGTAATTAATTGTATTTATTTATTGTGCTATATATATATATGTGAAATAATTTTCTATTAATATTTTTTTAATTATACCCATTTAGTTTATGTGTGTTTAAATACAAGTGTAATAAACCACTCTAGCCTCAGTTATTTTAACATTTTAATTACGAAAAATAATACAAAAACAACACAAAACAAACATCACTTTTATACATCCACTCAAATTAAACGTTCGAGATAAAGTGCATAGAGGATCATGGGTGAAGTTTATCACTAGCGCAGTCTTGCAGACAAACCAGGCATTACACAAGTGCTTTTAAAACATATTAAATTTGTAGTTAGTGTATGTCAAAAGAAGGAAAACTTGTTCAACTCGAGTAAATTAAAATAATTGTTTATTTATTTTTCAGCAATGTTTTCTAGTATAAACTTCATTGGATATCTAATTGACAAATTGCCTTCCTGTTTTTAAAAATAATCAATAAAATGCATAAAAATAACTACGATTTTATTTATTAAAAAATTGCTTTAAAACATGGCATGAAAATCATTTATTTAGTTAAATTTACTTTTCAGTTTTGTTTTTTACTATCTGTATGGTAATAAGAAATATAATATTCCATATTTTTTGATTTTATTACTGTTGGATTTTTCGTACTAGAATTGTTATTTGCAAGCAGTAAAGTAATTTTACCAGAATTTTTTTTTTCTCTGTGCTCTGCATGTAAGGAACAGGATGTGCTAACTCTGCTTTTACAATCACATTGGAACTAAACAGTTGTTCAGAATATATATATATACAGGGTTATTCATAATTCCCTCTGGGGTTTCGAAGCGTTATAGTAAAAAAAAAAAAAAAATGAAGAAGACGAATATGAATAAGTGAAAGATATGAAATTATTCCGAAACTATTAAAGTTTTACTTACATACATTACAGGTGTTCTATGTGTGAACCCTTGGTCACACGGCATGCATCAAAGCGATAGTCTAGTTCCTGCCCAGAGGGAATTATGAATAACCCTGTGTATATATATATGGGGGGTTGTACAAAATAATGGAAACACTTCTATACTAAATATTTTTTTCATATATTTTCAAGAAATTTTTAGAGAATAATTTTAAAACTTTATAAATGTTTAAGTCATGCAATTTCTCATACATACCAATAAAATGTAAAGCTTTTAGACGTTTGATTTGGTAATAAATTGTGATTGAAAAAGAATGTTTTTGAACACTCTACTCCAAAAATATACAGTGATAAGCTTGTAAAAAAATAAGAAATTACTCTAAAAATTTTTTTTTTAAATAACAATTATTTTTTTAAATTATTGCTTTTTAAAATAAAATTTAAAGAAAAATATGAATGAATATTTTCTTTCATTTTCAAACTTCCTAAGTGCATAAACTTGTAATCTCTTTTTGCCAGGAACTTTCTAACAATTCTAAGTTAAATGATTTATAATTTAAAATTTGCTGAAAAGATTACTAACAAATTTCACAAAAATTGGAAGAAGGTGTATGCTCTTCTTCTTTCTATGATTTTGCTCTACATGTTTCATTAGTTATAAATGGTTGACATAAAAGGAGCAATAAATTGTCCTAATGTTGTTCACAGGCTAAGTCGTAGAAAGTCATCAGAGGCTTCAAGATGAGGGGGGTTATACTTAAGCAAGTGCGAGGGATGAAATGATGATGCCACATAATTTTAACCATTTTAGTACGTAATATTTGCTATTTTAGTTATAAAAATAAATTAAGTATTACTACTGCATTTTATTCCTACTTTCATTAGTAAATATAAAAAATTAAACTTGAATTTAAATTTCTAAAAATCCAATTTAAACCAAATAAATCTGATTTTTTTAAAATCATGTTTTCTAACCTTAATTGCCTAGTGCCTTAAACAAATTACAAATGGTTAAACTTCATCAAATAAATATCACTATTAATTCTTAATAAAATGTATTTTTACTTGCAGAGCCTCAGAATGATTGCAACTGCAAACCTACTCCATCAACTAGGGTGTGTTTTAAAGAAGGAATTCCAGAACCAGAATAAGCCTAAATATTACTTAAAATGAAAAAAATAGTTCTTCCAAGCCTTGCTCTATGGGATGACATTTAGTTCATCGAACCATAACAAAATGGCTTCATCTGGCAGTTCTGTCAGTGAGGTATCGGTGAAAGGGAGCCGACTCTCCAACCAGAAACGACTCTCCATGTGGAACTGCCACAGATACTGTATCAGTGCTTTTCGACTGCCTCGCTTCAAGAATCTTGAAGTAGAAATCTTGTATCAGCGATACTTCCTCCACCTCAACCAAAGAAACTTGACTGCTCTTTTAGGAATCGTGTGTGCAATTGGCTGCATCATGCTGATATTTAACTATATTTTAAGTGACCATCGATCTCTCACCCACGGGATAACATTTGGAGTTATAGTGACATTAAATCTGATAATGGCCATTTTAAGTACTCAGTCATTTTTTAACCAAATTTACTTATTCACATTCTCATACACGGTTATGCTTTCGTTTTTCATCACCATCATATTAGTCGTCATTGACTCTCCGGTTCCCAGTGCCATGTCAAGTATTTGGTGTACTGTACTTTTTGTTTATTTTGGTTACACCTTACTCCCTGTCCGTATGCCTGAATGTTTGTTGAGTGGAATCATGTTGTCTATGGTGCAACTTATATCATATACAATGGTAAATGATACAGACCCATTTATATGGAAGCAGGTAAGATCTTTAGTTTTTTCTTGTCTTCTTTTGAAATGCCCACATCTATTACTGATTTTCTATGGTATCTATAGATTTTTCTATGATATTTATGAATTTTCTATGTATTTTCTGTTATTTCTATAGATTTTCTGTAATTTTTAAAAGTTTTTACAATTTTAAGATTTTAAAAATAGTTGAAAGGTGTGAAATTTCCTACTTTACAAGCTAAGTAGAATAAAATTACATTTGGTGAATAAGATGGAGAAACCCATTTTGTCATACTTTTCTCAAACAAAAATATCCTGAATAACTTATTTTTATATCACTTTTCTTTCTGAAAAAAGTCGCAAATTGGAATTTTCTTAGATCACAAGTCAAATACTTAGCTGTTTTGGATTAATTCCATTCTATGGGTGACTTTTCAAAAATTTTATCCTTTTTGAATTCCTCTAATCGTATTACCGATAATGGAGGTATTATAGTAATTGCAATCAATTAAGAAATTTAAAATACTCAAGAAAGCTAATATTAGACTATCTTCTTGCATTTAATTTTGAGTGACAGCAAATGCCATATTTAATACAATTTTAAAATTTTATGCAAATTTTTATTTTTAAAATTTATTGCATTTTTGAAACACTCCCTATTTTCATATATAATGCTATAAAGTAATGTTTTATTATGTTTTTATTTATTTTTGAAAATGAAGAAGACTATATGAGATTTAATTTTATTTTGGGAAATGTTACTTGTTGAATGTCAATCAAATGTTTCATTTTGGATTTCAGTACTATTCACTTCACTACTATATACTTTTGTTAAGTGTTTTTTCAAAAATCATTGACATTAATTTTATTTATACTTTGAAACTTCGAAAAAAGTTCAGTTTGCAGAAATTAAATTCTGTTATAATTTTTAATTTTACAAATTAAACAGGGCTCGTAGTTGTCCTGATATTCTTGATAAAGATTTTTCTTCTTCCAATTTTTGCCCTGATAATATGGATTTTTGTGTGTGCTTAGAACACACCAATTTCTAAGAATACACATGCAAATTTACAAGAAATGGTTTGAAGAATTAAAGGATTTGGATTTTCAATCCAATATCTTTTTATTTAATTGATAATTTTAGTAGGTATCGCAAAATTGAATTGTTCTAATTTGGGGACCTTCTACTGATAATACACGTGATTCAAGGGGCGGATCATATGTATTAACACAATTGATCACAAACATGGTAAAAGGAAAATTCAAGCAGCCCTGAAGAAATTTTTGGTTCAATATAAAGCAAAAAATTTTTAGTAAATTTTTTATTGTAGAAAAAAATTTTGTTTTCAAAATTTTTCAATGTAATCAAACTGTTAGTGAAATAAAAAAAAAATCAAGTAAATAAAAAGTCCCGATATTTTTAATATAATATTATGACTTGGATATTGAGTATTTATTAAAGAATATCTGATAAAATTTGTATCTTTAAAAAAAAGTTAAAGATAGAAAATTTTGGATTAAAATTTAGTCAAATTTCTTATGATTTTACTCTAAAACTAACATTTCTTTTTAAGGTATTGGCATATTAAAATAAATGTTTCATTAGTTTTCGTTTATTTTTCCAGTTAATAGCAAGTTTAATACTGTTTGTGGCTGTCAATGTAGCAGGTATATTTTCGCATTTTCCAAGCAAATCTTCCCAAAGAGAAGCTTTTATGGAAACAAGACAATGTGTCGAGGCTCGGCTGAACATTCAAAGAGAAAATCAGCAACAGGTGAAAATTTTATTTTAAAAAATATAATTTTGTTGTATCTAAATTAGCAACACTTGACTTGTACTTAAGGGGATTAATCTGTTCTTTCTTGTACTGTTTTATTTTTTTAGATACTCTTGTTTCATAAATTATGTAAAATACAGATTTGAACTTCATAGTATTCCATTTAATCCTAATTTAAGTTTGGTAATTAATTTTAATTTTTTTTTTTTTTTTTTTTTTTTTTTTTTTNCTAATTTAAGTTTGGTAATTAATTTTAATTTTTTTTTTTTTTTTTTGATTATTTGACTTTTATTTTTTTTAAATATTTTGAAGTGTTAGATTGTAGGATAAAAATGTAGTGACAAAACTAGATTCAAACGTCCAAAACTAGATCCAAACATGCAAATGAAATGCATTTGAATAAACATAAGTATTTATTTTGATCTCTAAAACAGACTTAAATAACGCATATAAATATTATCCCGCCTTATGGTATCAAAGTAATATTAATTGTTCTTTACATGTGTATCATCATTCTTAAGGACTTTATTTGATATGTTTATTAAAAAAGTATAACTGTCAGTTTTAATTGTTTTTCTCATTATTTTTATTTTTAGGAGCGACTACTGTTATCTGTGTTGCCACGTCATGTTGCTATGGAAATGAAAGCTGATATAGCCAAGAAACCTGAAGACACCATGTTCCATAAAATATACATTCAGAGACATGAAAATGTTAGGTAACAACTGTAATAAATAATTTATATTTTGTTGTTGTTGAATTTTTAACTTTGAGAATGATTGAATGTTTTCATAGCCATATTAAGATTAAAATTTTGAACCCTATGGTATTACAGTCTAGAATGGATGTCAACCGTAGGGTGAATTTTTTTCTTCAAATATGTGTTTCTTCTATTCATGCAAAAATAAAAAATAGCATAAATTGTTTTTAAGTTTTGCAACTCAATTCAATATTGTCTTTTATTTTCTAAAGAAGTCATTATTTTCTATCTAAATCTTTTACTGTTTTTAAAACTAGAAAAAAATCATTCTAACAACAACATATGAAACAAGGAATGTATAAGATAAATTTTAATTTCGTATACAATAATGATTTAACTTAATAGTTACCTAAAGTTCTTTTTTAAAAAAAAAAGAATGAAAGATGGTTTAAAAAGTAAAGAAGGACTCTTGCTAAATGCTCAATTCTTGAATTAAATTTATTGAAAAATGCTGAATTCTGGCCTGTTGCACATAAATAATTAAACAAAAAGGTTTCTTTTAATGTAAAGTTATATTAAATTGAAGATATTGCAGTTAATTTAACTTTATAGTTGCTAGTATTTAGTAATGTAGTTTTTAAATTTTACTGACCATAAAATTTTCTGCATCTTTAACCCTTTCGTGACGGGAAGCGTGAAAGCTTTACCGCTGAGTCTGGCAGTCTCTCTCGCGTGTGTCGGAGAGACACACGCGAGAGGGCCGGAGGGTTTTTGCTGTTAAGCCTAATTCCATGAAATTACCGAAATATCAACGCGTTGTTTAATATTGTTATTGAGTATTTAAATGACATATGCTTTATCTATATTTCTATGGATACTTTATTTACTTAAGTTATTTCTTGTTTAAATATATATTTTACACATTTTATTTTCATTATGTACTTATCATTTAATAACATCATTAATAATGTTAATTACTATTATTATTATTTTTTTTTTTTATATTTTGGCAAATATTCATTTTATTGCATTTAAATGTATTGAAATAAAGGTGAAAAAAATTTTACTCATCAGTAAACAAGTTCAGGGAGAATATTCCGGTTAAAAAAATTTATATTCTAAAATGTTTACTGCGCTTAAAATTTCTGATGTGCCTCAAACGCTAAGTAATCAAAGTAAATAATAAAGTTGCATTTACCAGTATTTAATAAGAACAAAATTTTTATATAAAGTTGCTTTTATTTAATTTCATGAGGTTTGTAAAATTTTTAATATTAAATGAGATTATTTTTCTTTATAACTCTGTTTTATATAGCCTGGTAAGCAAGGAAACCAATCTAAGAGCAAATAATTATGTTCAAGCAATAAAAAAAAATGGAATTCACTCACTCTTTATTTGAATAAAGACTCTTTTAAAGATATTACAACTTCTCTTACTGTTAAACTTTGACAAAAACATATCCCTTTTTGCGCATAAGTATCTGATGGTACAAAAAAAAGTTGTTTTTTTTTTTTTAAATTCTACTTCATATTTATTTAAGTTGATTATGTTAAAAGCATTGACATTCCAATAACTGCAATATTGTTTCTTTGAATATTGAAAGTGTATAAAATCTTCTGCAATTTAAAAAATGGGGGTAAATTTTCAATTTTCATTGTTCATTCTGTTTCAATTTTCATTGATTTAATTTTTAGATACATTTAAAAAAATTCTATTTAACATGCTTGGTAAAGCATGTTTTTACATTTTATAAAATATTATATGTTTATTGTATTTGATTGTTTTTCAGTATTTTGTTTGCTGATATTTGTGGCTTTACTAGTCTTTCATCTCAATGTACAGCAGAGGAAGTTGTAAAAATATTAAATGAGCTTTTTGCACGGTTTGACAAACTTGCTTCAGAGAATCATTGCTTGAGAATCAAACTTCTGGGAGACTGTTACTACTGCGTAAGTGGGCTTCCGGAACCTCGTCCTGACCATGCTCAATGCTGTGTGGAAATGGGCCTCGACATGATTGAAGCTATAGCGTATGAAAACTCCTTCATTTTGCTAAATGCGCACAATCTTGAAAATTGAAATAAATTTCTAATGGCACTTGCACTGTAAAAAATTTTTTTAATTCATCTTTACACTGAAAATGGTGGCTACTTATTTGTACCAAAAATGCAACTAGAGTGTTCAAATACTAAGGGCAGGTCTTGGTGTCTCAAGGGAATGTTCCTTTATCATATTTTTGTACTTACTTTTGGTGTAAAGTAGTTTCCACTATTTTCGGTGTCCTGTATCACCGAAATTGATAATAACAATAAGATGGTACACATTAAGAATCTGTTTATTAACTCGTTTTTAACATGTGAAGTAAGAACAGTTACTTAAGGACGCCAATACACACTGTAATAAAATTAATTTGTAAATCTAGGGACAGTATTGGCTTTACAAAACAGAAGTAGATGAAAGTTATTTAGTGCAATTGACTTATGTGTTTCATGTGACTTTATTAGGAATTCAATCCAATTCGATACCAATCTGTGAAAGTTTCCACTCTATAGCTATAGTTTTATTTATTTCCTTGAGGAGGTTTATATCGAGCTGAATTTAGTTTAACAGCTTAGTTTTAAAACATTGGTTTTCTGTGATTGCTTGAATTGCAGAAATGGAGTCTACCAAAATGACATATAAAACATAATTGCGACATTGACATAGCAATTGACATGTAAAACATAATTAAGCATACATGAAACATTTGTAACAGTAAGCTTTTGTTTCTGTAAATGTGCAAAATAACAACAAACTCACGCTTTCTTCTCTTGAGGGTAAACAATCTGCTGCGGATACCCAAATTACACAAAATTTGAAGTTTTTGGAAGCAAAAATAATTTACGAATGGTGTGAATGTGTTTGACTTTGGTGTGAGCATTTTCCATTGCTGGTGTTTAAATTTAACTATACCTTCTTTTGAAAGTATATTTATGATTGCTGTATTCGGTGTTGACTTGAAATCAAATGTTTCTTTACCCTCTTTTTTGTGTTCTTCATTGCCAAATATGGATAAATATTACAACACATTGCTTATAGTGTAGAAATATTTAAGGATTTTTTTTTGAGGCCATGTAAAATAGGTAAAATTTTTGAAAAAGAAAAGAATTAATCCAAATTTTTATTTTTAAATTATCCATAATTTATGTGTTTTAAGTTTTTTGAAATCAAATGTTAACAAAACCAGTATTACTGTCACAAAAACAGGCTTGTTGAAATGTATACTTCTTAATTTCTTTAGCTAACAACTGCAATTTTTGATTTATAAAATTTTGGAACATAAAATTTTAAATAACACAAGCCTGCGAGGTTGAAGTTTTTGAAAAATACAAGAGAAGTTATTGTTGATTCATATGTTATTTTATGTGCTGATTTCGAAAATGACCTTCATTTTCCCCCATCACGTCAGGATTTTTTGTAAAATTGATATAGATGTCTTTACTGAAATCCTATTTGGAAAGGAATTCTCTCAAGCAATTTTGCATGTACTATCTAGTAACTGTTGTCTTTAGTCATTTTGATCAATGTAAAATTGTATCTTGTGAAGGTAAATTGATTTTTGAGCGATCGGCTAATTTCTTATAGGTTAATAACACTGTTGCCAGATAGCACAAGTCACCTCTTTTCGATAGAAAAACAACAAGTTCCTTGAGTTTAAGCTTTTTACATCAGTTTCTAGAAGAAAATCACCAACATACAATTTTAATTTATTTTTATTAGGGTAACTTACGTAAAATTGACCGAGATTAGCAAATATTGTCATATTAATCGCAAAATCTTTATCCTTCATGAGTTTGTGGATATCTGGACCATTAAAGATTCCCTCCTTCAACTTGGCTTGGGATAAACATGGAAACTTTTTGCACAGCTGTTTGAAACAATCACCATCTTTAGAAACTGCCTTGACAAACTGCTTCATTACACAGAATTTTATATGTAACAATTCTTTTTTTGGATTAACTAAGCTGTTTTGAATAGCATTCTTGGTGCCTGGGTCAAGATTTTGTCTTTTTAGCCATTCTTTTTTGACCCAATCTTGAGTCTTGTCACAGCTGTCCCACTCACAAATGAAACATGGGAACTTTGTAAATCTACCTTTTTGACCAAGAAGCATGGAGATAACTTTCAAATCATAGTAAATGGTCCAACTGTGGTCGACATATTTTATTTTGTCCAAGACGAGAGTCAGGTTTTCATAGCATTCTTTTAAATATACCGAGTGACCAACTGCTACAGATGCATACTAGCTCCCATGATGAAGAACTGCAGCTTTGAGGCTTATTTTAGATGAAACTGTAAACGGCCTCCACTCATCTTTATCGTAGATGACACTAAATTTCATCAATCCAGGAACATCAGAACAATATACCAAGTTCTCCTCTTCATCAAAGTACTTAATAAATTCTTTTTTTCAAAAGATGTTCCTTTGGGCAATTAGTCAGTTTCTTTCAGTCTGGGGCCTAACAATTCAGCTGCCGCTTTCAAAAGGCCCAGATCTCTAGTCAGATGATTAAGTTCAACCTGAGAGAAGGGCTAAGGTGAACCAGGTACAGATGGCATTTATTCGATATTAGAGCCTTGAACTTCTGAATGTTCTGAGTCTGAAGAGATGGCTGGCAATTCAGTTTCTAGGCACTTCTGGTCCATAAGGATGGGGGCGTATGACCTATGGAATGTTATCAGGATAAGATATTAGCCTTTAATTTTTCCGGTTATACCCAAGAACATGTCAGGAATGAAAATAACAATCATCAAAGTGGTTTATAGGTTTCCTTCATGTCATGGGAATTCCAAATCATAAAGTACTTTTCTTTCCTCAGAGCCATAAGCGTAGATTATTGAGACACTGTGCACAAACTTTATGAGAAGCCCGCGATTTGTCCTGATCTTCGAGTTTCATAGCAAAATACGCAGGATAAAGTTGTCTTACATAGTCTGTAATGCTCCTCATGGGATTTTTAATGAAACTATATTAGCCATCGTGTTTCACGAAACACAGAGAAAAGCAGGCGTTAAAAATGCTTCCGAAAAAATTTACCCTGATTATGCTTGCTATTGTTCCTGAGACGTCAGCAAAGCGAGATTCTCTCGACGCTATCGTTAGATAGATATTGCGACCGAGGGAGGAACGGTGGCAGGAAGATGTCATAGAGGGGTACTTTTATTAGATTTAACCAAAGTAGAATGCTGGTCAGGCAAAAAGGGAAGAAATTCAAAAACTAAAAAAAAAAATTTTGGTAAATGTTCATAAAAATTCCAGTAAAATTTAATTTTTCAAGAAAACGGGACGTGATAGAAATTTTTCATTCCAGCACATATTTCACTCATTTGATCCCTTAATGGTATAAAGTTCTTGAGATATATATATTTCTTTGCATATTTCTTGGGAGCATTTTAAGAAAATTAAAAAATTTTTACAGATACTTGAATAATTTATTTAACCAACGATCCCAATGTTAAAGAAAATCTGTATGAATTATTGATTTTAGTTAATAATTGAAAAAAATTTTATTTTATGGTACACAAATTTTTTCATTGTTTTTCACATATGTAATTTTAAATAACAACTCTTGAGGTTCAATTGACTAATTTTTAAAAATTTTAAATAGTTAAAAAATATTAGTTTTTGGAAATTTTATTACTAGTTATATTTATAACTAGATTGATAGTTCATTTTTTGCTGAGATGTGGAAAAAACAATAGTAAAATTAACTCAATGGATAGTATTTGGTGGGCTGAATGCTTAAGTGTTTGAATATTCAAACAAAATCTCATGCATCCTTGTTCAAATATATATATATACCACATAGCAAACAGAAAAATATGGTACCTATTAAACTAGTGATAAAAGTTTTTTTATTGCTTAAAGATTAAAAAGTTTTTCAAAATGCATTTCTCTCTTGGAGGTTTATCTTCCTCATGATTTCTGCAATCCTAATGTTGCCTTATAATTTTTTCCAATACTTCTAAACTTTTCAAAATACCACCATTTTTATGTAAACAGTTTGTAATAACATATAAACATTAAAATGAGTTACCTATTAAATTACATCTATAAACAGTTTATTGTTTTCATGCGTTATATAATGTGTTAGGAAAGCTTAAAAATTGATTACTGTGTTTTTTGCTGCTTAGATTAGTGCGTGAAGTGACTGGTGTTGATGTAAATATGCGAGTAGGAATTCATACCGGTAGAGTCCACTGTGGTGTTTTGGGGTTAAGGAAATGGCAGTTCGATGTATGGTCTAATGATGTCACGCTAGCTAACTATATGGAGGCTGGAGGAATTCCAGGGTAATTTATTTCTTGCATTGTTTAATACTGAATTTTTGAGTGATTATTAAATTTAGTTTTAAAAAAGTTCCCTATTGTACTCATTGAAAACATTTTAAACGACTGAAAATCATCCTTGTATATTTTTCACCTTTGTAATTTATAAATCTAAAAATCTCTTAAATTTTTATTTTCAAATATTTCTAACAGCATTGAATATGTTTTTCTATGAAGTCTTCTTCACATTTTAGCAGGGTTCGTTGATTTAAATCAGCTTGATTTAAATCACGATTTTAATCATAATTTAAATCAAATGATTTTTTTTTTTAAAAATCATTGATTAAAATCAACTAATTTTTTTAATATATATTGATTTTAAAAGTTAGAAAACAGTGTTTTAAATTATTGATACTTTTATTATTTTCTTTTCTTAGTTTTAATATTTATTTTAAATAAATTGTTGCATTAATTCATTTTAGTTAACGAAATTACTTTCTTTCTTGGTGTGTGTTAAATTCCAACACATTTGAAATTAAATTTTTAAAAATCTTTTGATTCTTGAGATTGAAAGTACAGATTAAAGTAAACATTTATAGATGTCTTAATATAGACTTGCATAGCTGTAGAAAGTAATTAATAAACATTAATTTTTTTCAAAAAATAATGTTAATTAAAATTCTACCTTTTGAATGAAAAAGCGTGGAATTAAAATCTACATTAAATTTTATAGGTGGAAAAGGTATATTTCTAAAGCTTGAGGTTATATTAAAGAGAAATTACCCTAATATGCCAACAATCGAAAGAAGAAAAAAAAAAGACTGATGAATTCAGATATTTTTTTCCTGATATAGTGTCATTCTTCCCTTTCAAACTCTTTCAAAGTCTATTTGAAACAGTAGGGTTATTAACTGTTTTTTTTTTCTCGTAATATGTTTACAAGTATCTTTGACATAATCTGATTTTCTATAAAGAAATTTTGTGAAAAACAATTCCGATGAGTACATAGATTTTTTTAAAAATTTTTTTAAAACTTAACTTATCTATTTTGATATAGAATTCAAATGGAATATTTTAATACAAAAATATGTAGATTAAATATTTATTTATTTTTTGATGAATGACTACATTTATAAACACCATCTGTTAGATTTATTTTGTCATTATAAAAATCAACAGGGTAAAAAAAATCAAAATTTTAAATTTAAATTATGGTTTGTTAATTGAAACTTTGTTTTAATGGTTAAAGTTACAGGGGTCTGTCCAAGCCAAATTTACTACCGTTTAGCGGTACCTTCACAAATTCAACTTGAGGAAAAACGGTAGAATAATTTCACAAAACTCTTTTTTCCTAATTTTTTTTTTTTGTGTGTCTCGTAAGAAATGATAAATCCATATTTTTACCATATTTGTGTTGATTTTTTAATCTAATTTTTACAAATTATTTATTAATTAATTATTAATTCTGAGAGGTACCCTCTCAGAAAAATCTAGACAGACCCCTGAAGTATTCTTTAAATTATCTATTTCATCTAGTCTTTAAATTTCAATCATGCATTTGTTTCAAAATGGTTGCTATGCATTCAAAGCTATGCATTATAATGAAAAATTATTTTAGTAAGTTATAGCTTCTAAAATATTATTATAATATAGTTTTAATATTAATTTAATTTTGATTAAACATTTATAAAGTTTTTTTAATCATAAATTAAAGCTCTTACAGTGTATTTGAATTTTAAAAAAAAAGTCTGATTTGTTTGATTTATTTTTAAAAAATGAAAAAATCACGAACCCTGCATTTTAGCCAATAAATATATGTCCGACTTAATTTAACATATTCTGATACTTCCCTTTCAGCAGCTCAATTTCAATTTAAGAGTCTCTTATTGTTACTTTTTCATGTACGTGAAACTAAAAGATCAGTGCAATTATATTACGTAACTTTTAATCAAAAAAAAAAAAGTGTTTCTAAAATTTTGAAATATATTTATTCCAGTTTGTCACTTTTATGATATAAAGATATTGTTTCTTATAAAGTTAGGTAAAAAAAAAGAAAATCATGTATGCTCTATCATTTTTGAGATTTTCTATAAAGACCATTGGTGCAGATATTTCACCACTCAAAGGGGGATTTTTGTATTCAATGTGTGTACTGACAGGTTCTATTTGCTGTTTTGGGAACATTTCAGGTTTCCTGGGCTACATAACTTCTGATTACTGAGGAATTGCTTTTCTATAGATTGGATTTGAAAACACAACTACAGTTAAGTGCCGATTCGCCATTCACTTTTAAATAAAATACAAGTTTCTAATATATATTTAATTTTTGTAAGTCAAAAAGTTTCTTGTACCTTTGACCAGTCTCTGTGTTGTGCCTTGAATCAGTCCAAGTTATATGTAATGGGTTCCGCTTGCACAAGCAAATTTTCCTTTGAACTTTCCTTCATACAATAAGTAAAAAATTTTATGTTCTTAGTTAAACTGTAAATTTGTAAACATTTGAATAAAATATTCTTTGCAATCCCATTTATGATTCACTTGGTTGATTTTAAATTATTTTGATTACTTTAAATAAAAAGTTTTAATTGCATGATTATCCAAATTCAATCAAGAAACTAGTTTTAAAGAGAAAACCTCAAAATGAACATTATCTAAAGAATAACTCTCATAGGCTCAACTTACAGTACCTTAAACCAGTTTAAAAAAGAAATCCGAAATATCTGATTATGCTCTATCATTATGTTTTTCCTGCAAGATTTCTATATTATTGCTTTCTGCACGGAAAATTGAATCAAGGTCAAAAATAGAAAACTTTCTCCTTTTTTCTATTCTTAATATAAATGTATTGTGATTACATTTCTTTTGTGTTTATCACAGGCATGTGCACATCACAGGAGAAACACTGAAATTTCTGAACAATGACTATGAAGTGGACCCTGGCTGTGGAGGGGAACGCCATAAGTATTTGAGGGATCACAACATCGAAACATACCTAATCATCCCCGATGAAAAGAAGCGTATAAGCTCTGTTCGCCCTCCTCAATACACAACACCTAATAATGTCTCCAAAGAAATGCGGATGATGGGACATTCTGACATGCACAAATTTGACAGCAGGTTAAGTTTTTTTTAATTTTTTTTACCTCTTTATATAAAATTATTTTAGAGTGCACAGTTTCTTTCTTTTTCTGTAATACAAATGCTGTGAACAGAGCCAATATAAAATAGTGAGTTCCCAACCTTTTTTGGACTTCATGGTGGATCAAAAAAGTTTCAACACCCCTTACATAAGAAAAGGAATAAATTGTCTCATTTTAAACCTTTTAATATTTTTGCTATAATGAATGCACTTCAATAGTAATGTCCTTAAGTTATTAAAAAAATACTTTATTCCCTAATATTAAATTATTTTAAAAATTTAGGAAGCACCTAAATTATGCAAATAAATAAGCTTAAAAATATGTTTTCAAAGCATTTTTATGAGAAGACTATTGAATGAGAGAAAAGTTAGTGGAAACTTAAATACTTTTAAAGTTCTCAAATAATGAATGTAGGACACTTTTTTAGCAAAAAAATTATCTTTAATTTTAGTTAAAGATCATATTATTCTTTCAAATGAAATTAACTGAAGCCGCAAAGGCACAAATATTTTAAATTCATCTGGAAATCGTTGTGCCATTCGATTTTAAAATTTGTGAGGTAGGTATTATAGTATTTTGTGTGCTTTAAAAAAGTGTTTTAATTACAAATATATATGCTAAAATAGAAATCTAAGGTACCAAACTTTATAAATTTATGAATTTTAATGTGTACTCAATAATAAATTCTTACTTACTTTATAAACAACCCACTAAATTAAGTTTTTGAAAGATATTACTTTAGGAGCCGCATGATTCCTCTATTTATATAAGGTCTTAAGATGAAAGATTTGCTCTTAAAATATTGCCATGGATTTAGAGCAAATGCTTCAGTCACCAACTAGGAACCACAAAATTCATGCAAATGAAGGACAGTGTTTCTGGTATCAGTACACACACAGTGAACAAAATCATTGAAAACCAAAATTTCAAACTTTAAGAAGGTATGAAAATAATTAGGTATTAGTGCTAAAACAATAAGTTGTACTTCTTTGAAATTTTTATGTAATGTAACTCAACTTCAATACTTATTGTACTTTTCTTTAATTCAAATTTCTGATAAATTCAACACTTTGTATTTCCTCTTAGTTTGAATAAAAAAGTATTGATACACTTACAAAAAAATATTTCATAGTTTGCATCTAAATATAAATTTAAATAAAATATAATTAATATAAATGTAAGTAAAAAATCAATGTCATAAATATTAAATATTTTCAGCTACAGACGTAGAGAATATAAAAATCCTCAAGAAGAAGTGAATGACTATTTGTCCCGTGCCATTGATGCTCGCAGCATTGACCGATTGAGGGATGAGCACTGTCGACCTTTTACCAACTCATTTCATAAGAAGGATATCGAAGAAAAAGTGAGTATACTTATACAGTTTCAACTGTATAAGGGTGCGTTTTCTATTTTTTATTACTATAAATAAAAATATGCTACGTGATTTAATTATTTTTGTTTTTGGAGAAATATTTATAAGGTCCACAAATTTTGTAAATTTAAAACCTTTTTTTTTTTTTAGAATACAATTGATTTTTTAATCACTAGTTATCATTTCCTGAATTTCCATCTTTAATTTTGTACCTCTTGAATTCATATTTAACTATGAAACTAAAGTTTTTTATTTCAAGTGTAACTTAGCTTTTAAGTTATTAAAATTTTTATAAATACAATCTTATAAAAGATTTTTAATAATATATATATTTGTTTTTTACAAATTTTAAGAAATAGTGGGAAAGTACTTTTCTTTCTGTTAAGAATAGAGTTATTTTAATTTTATGTTATTATTTCAGTGTTTAAACTAAACTTTGTTCAGAGAATATATTAGAAAGTACACTCTGAAAAGTGGTGAAATTATTTGAAAGTCATGTTGCAAACATGAGTGTACAAATTTAAGTATTTGTTAAAGTTATAGGATATATATTTTTAAAGACAAGGTGGTACTATCCAGCTTGCAAATTTTTATCTTTTGGTTATTTTCTGATGATTTTTCATTGTTTCCCTTTACCCCTTTTTTTTTTTGCAGTATATGAAGGAGGGAGATAAAATGTTGTCAACATATTTCATTTGTTCAGGATTCATGCAGCTTTTTATTATTATAATTCAACTAATCATTTTACCAATGTGAGTATATGCATTCTCTTTCTTTTAATCCTTCAATATAAAGGCAGAAAGAAATTTACAGTAGCTATTTTAAGAAATAATGTTATAATACATATAACTGTTAATTAGGGCTCGAAATATCTTAACATTTTTGTTCGGCCATGTAAGAGTGCTTTGTAGACCAACGTGTGCTACTGGCCATAATCTGCAAAATATTTGCCTGACTGAAACTTGTACCTGGCAGAATATTTTTTACCATTATATATTAATAAAAAGATAGGAATTATCTATGTAAAAAAATGACATAAACAGTAGTATATCTTCATCAGCAAATACTATCTTCATCCTGTTACTTAAAAACTATACTAACTTTTATTTCTAATATTTTCTTATCTACAAAAAATTGGGGTTAACATTTTTTTAATGCATCTTTTTCCTTGGTGACTTTTTTCACCTCAATCTGACATCTCAAAATTTCAACTGCTGTTAATTGATATTTTATGATATTTCTAATTGAATATACATAACGGCGCACCAGAATATAAGGGTAAAAAATTCCGGTTTGATCAAAATTTTTATATGCTTTGCTTTAAACTCTTTTCAATATTTATTAATGTTTTATTTTAATGAACTGATTTACTATTTGGGTAGTCTTATACAAAAATTTATTAATTCAAATATTAGATATCTAAGCATCTGATGGTACAAAAAAGGGATTTTTATTCTATTTTGTATTTATTTAAGTTGATTATTTTAAAACATTGACATTCCAATAACAATGTTGAACTTATTTACTGCTTGGGTAGTTTTATACAAAAATTTCCTTGCCAAGCAAGCACCCATTGAATAGCATGGGTGAAAACCAGTTTTTGTTGTGCAAGAAAACAACTTAGTAGTACCCCAACCGAGTTGTGAGTTGATAGTTAATAGGTTAAAATAACAGTTTTTCCTATTTCTCAAATCTCTAAATTCTAATTTTTACTGACTTGAGAAATGCAGGTACTTTATTTTCACATAGTACTTGATTATGAAGAAATAAACAAAATACGAACATGACTAGAAAAAAAATCGTAAATTAGGTAAAAATAAGAATTCAAATGTTTTTGTGTGCAGGTCTTCACCGAACCAAACATTGGCGTCGTAAGATAAAATTTATTGGAGGGGACCACCCTACACTGCCATTATATATATATACTTTCCATACCTGAAAGTTGAAGGAACGCTAAAAAAAAAATTTGAGAAAGCGAGTTTTCAAGATAAAAAATCAGAATTAAACATGTTCTAAAAAGTAGAAAAATATATTCTAAAAGATTACACTAAAAAGTACAGTCATGAAACATGAAAATAACTACTGATAAGTATGTAAGTAATGATAGTTGACTATATATAATTCTAAGCACAATAATTATAATTTTATTTTTAAAAGTAAGGCAAAACTAATTATACATTGTAGAAAAAAATTGGTTTATAATAAATTTACATTGTGATTTTTCCAAAAAAATTCATTTTCTATTTGAAAAATTCAACGTAGCGAGGTTTTGAGAAGAAACTCTTTGACATTGTAATTCAAATTAACATTAAGTGGATGTATAACACCAAAGGGAGGAATATTTTTTCGACATAATAAGTTTTTTAAGATATTGTGAGTATACCATATATACAGTTTTTTGCGAAATATGCTATTGTTAAAAAAAAAAATTCAAGGGATACTAATCTTTTGTTGTTTTTTTTAAAAAAAAATCACATATATGTATTCCTAACAGCTATACAAAAATTAGTATTTTTTAAATTTTTCTGGGAAGATAACATAGCTGTATGGTTTTTTTTTTCCAAAAAGAATTTATTAGATTAAAGAATGCCATAGTAACATTTACTTAAATTTGATAGAGTAAGAATTTTGAGGGATGTGATTCCCTGCGGATTTCCGCTTTTTTTTCTGATTTTTCCCGCTAATTTCCGCGAAAAAATTTTTTAGAACAAGTTCAAATATTTTATGAAGAATTTAATTTTCCACGGAGCGAAAGTATTGAAGTCCTCATTCCTCCCACTGAAGCTTCTCTAAAAATCATTTCCTTGGAAAAAACCGGTTTACCTTTATACAGGGATGAGATTTTTTCGCTTTTGCCTTTCGAATTTCAGCCTTTTTTATCCAAAAATCCCGATTCTCTAGAAGGTTCGTTTATTTATAAATATCCCGCTTTTTTTTTTTTTTTTTTTGTAGAATTCAGACGTTTAAATAAAATAATTGTATTATTTACGATTTTCAAAGGTAAACAGAAAATTCAAACTACGTCCTAGCTGCTAACCCTTCCGCATTTTTACCTATTTTAGCTATTTTCTCCCCTTTTACACACAGAAAATGAGATTTTTCGTATTTTTATTTGTCCGCCCGACAGCTCATATTTTCGCAATTCAAACAATTGACCCTGTTGTCTAGCATGAAGGCAAACGATAACATAAAATTAAAAAAATAGAGGTGGATATGCGGTGAAAATATTTATTTGCTTATTCAATTAATCTTGTAAATGTTTATTTATTATGTCTAAACAAAAACAATACAAACAAGCCTTTTAGAAATCCCAAGTCCAGAATCTGCAAATATCTCAATTCTTATCCACGCGATTTTAATATCAATCATCGATTTTCGTATTTCCCTGATTTAAAAGTTGCGCATTGCGATTCTTATTCAGGCGGCTTAAATATTGTATATTGCGATTCTTATTTACGAGATTTAAAAATCCAATATCGCGATTTCTATTTACGTGCTTTTAAAACCCTATGTAGCGATTCGTATTCACGCCAGCTTAAAATCCAATGTCGTGATTCGTTTGTGCGGTTGTAATATCAAACTTCGATTTTCGTATTTATACGTGCTTTAAAAATTAGACATTGTGATTTGTATTCGCGCGATTTAAAAATTATGCATCATGATTCCTATTTACGTGATCTAAAAATTACGCTTCATGATTTGTATTTTCGCATTTTTTAAAATTCGATATAGAGTTTCATATTCACGTGATTTAAAAGCCTCATATCGAGATTNAAAATTTTCGATTTTAATTAAAGACTCTGACTAATGAAGGTAAATCCAATTATAATTTTACATACACAATCGCTTTGTAAGGGTATACTAACAGAAAAATAATCAAAACATATTATTTTTTAAGTGATGAAATTGCACCAAATATTGTTCAACAAATTAGATGCTCAGTTCCAGGAGGATATACATTTGATATCTAAAACTTGATCATTCTATTGCAAAATAACTAAAATCTAACTTTAATGCATCAGAAAATGTTAAAAATAACATCTTCATATTTAAGGTTGATCTTAGTATAGAGTAACTGGTATTCAATAAGGCCTATGAATTTTAAGAATGGGACAGCAGGAGTGGAAATGCTTTAATTAAGATATTTAATATGGTGAACTTAGAAAAAATATTCCTATTTATCTTATCAAAATTTTATTTCAGTCTATTATTTGAAAAAAAAAAAAGAAAGTTATTTCAATAATATTTATTAGCCCCTTATTTAACCTGGGCTTTGAACATGTCATTTCTTGCTAGTTAAAGTTGAAAATCAGTAAGAAAAGCAATCTATTTCTATCCCAAACTTTCATATGACAAGAATAAGGCGAAATTAATAATATCAACAAAAAGAAACTTCCAAAGTTACTGAGTGTTTAAAAAAAGTTAACAATGAAAGTTCCAAATGGAGTGGCTTGTTCGTATATCCGGGTTTGCTTTTAATTTTTCTTCTAATATATCAGTTTTAAGAATTTTTAATCTGAGCGAGTAGTTAAAAAAAGTGACACTATTATAATAAAAAGTTACATATGCTTCACTATTTAGGGCAAAAATCCTTTATTAAAACAAATATAAAAAACAGGATATAAGACATTTGAATGAAAAACATGCACATAATATGAAATTGAGCTAATTCAATGACTAGTTTCCTTGTTGTGATGAGAACACGCCGTCGACATATGAGTTACAGCAATAGGAAATCAAGAATATTATTTCTTGACACTGAAGAAGAAAAAAATTTTTAAAATTATAAACATTTTAGAAAAAAAAATTACCCATGTAAAAATGGCAATTTTAAGTTAAATTCTGCAGAAGTAAAATATTTTAATAAAAAACTGCAGTTCTATAGTGTGAAAGAGAACATTTTCAAGATAAAAAGACCCCTATCAATCATATCAGTGATAAAATAATGCATAAAATATAAAAATGGTTAGAAGAGTAACGATTATTGTTTTTTCTGAAACAAATTGAAAACTAAACTGATCATTACAACTGCATTGTGAGCCTTCAAAGGCTAATATTATGACTTCTGAAAAATAACCATGTGTGTATATATATATATATATATATTTATTCTCGGATTTCCTCTTTTTTACTTTCTGACTACTCTCATCCCTGGAATTTTAAAAGTTTCTTCATGCGGTCTACACAAACTAGTGTTTCGTTTGAGAAAAATAACCAATTTTAATGATTTTTGTTCTACTGTAAAAATAATCAGCTGAAATAAATTCTTAGCTTTTTTTTTGCACATTTCACATATTTAAACTCAAATTAGTAGTCGTTTGTATCATATATTATAAAAGTGGTTAAAATATAAAATTCAAACTGTTACCTAATATTAACATCTAAATTTTTAAGATTTCCAATTTAAATCTTTATCAATATAAAATTCAAAATTTGTTCTATAATATTAGCCGATTTTTCAATTAAGAATTTCCAGTTTTGAATATTTCGTAAAAAAGTCAGAAATGAATCAACTCAAATTTCTTATTTTCAGTGGTAATCCATTAACCACTGAGATTTGGAAAATGATCTGTGTAAGCAATTCTGGAGTTGGCCAGCATAATGCAGAGTCATTTAAATTTATAAATGCCAAAAGGCTTGTATGTTGATGATATCTTTTTCTTAAAATATGACATAAATAAATACATATGCCTCTAAATCAAAATTATTTCCTAACAGAAGCATTCAATGCATAGTTACAAAAAATTTAAACATCTTGATGTATCTTCATCTGTAAGGTAAAGGGTGGAAAGATAAAGCAAACTATGTCTGACACACAAATAAAAAAAGTTATAACTGGGCAATCTTTTAATCGTCCGCCTCGAGAATACTTAAAGAAGGGAAGTCGCCAAAATTATAGACCAGTGTGTTGCATTCTTGAGAGAAAAAAGTCTTATATGTGAAATTTCAATTCTTGGGAACTATTTGACCTATTCAATTAAAATTTTGTATTTTATAACTTACTATTACTACTTTAAGATTATGTAAAAATTTTATCCCTTACAATTCTAAATAGTTTTACTAATATCGTATAAATAATAAAATGTAACAAAGAATAATTTTAAATTATTATGTATGAGGAATTATCTTCAGAAAATTCAGAATCAGTAAATGTTATATTTGCTTCAAAATACGCAAAAAATAATAATAAAATTAATAAGAGGCCCGAACTTTTGTCTGCTTTTCTGACTAAACTGTTTGGGTTTTTTTTTTTTTTTGGTTTTTTTTCACATTGCAATTACCTCTCCTATTTTGATAAATTTGATTTCATTTATTGCTCATTTGAGAAAAAAGGTTAAAGTGGCATTAACAATTATATTATTTATTGTAGACATTTATTTAGTTATTTTTTGATGCAGTTAATTTTTTTTGACATGTATTTTCTTTTTACAAGTATTTTTGCTTTTTTTTATACAGTAAATATTTTTATACAATATTTTTTATGTAAAAAAAAAAAAAATCATTTTTTAATGGAAAGTAAAACAGATGTAATTTTTTTTTCAAAATGTCGGGTTCTAACTCCCTAAATATTGCGGGGGTCTGGACCCTCCCTCCCGGTTGCAACATCCATGAAACCAAATGTGAGTAGTCACATTATAATAAGTGGTAATGCAAAATTGGTTCAAAGGAATGCTATGTTTTCAGATATGTACGTAGGCACCATTCTCATGTTCATAGATTTAAGTTAGAAATAGGAATGTGTGTTTTTGTTCTTTTTTTATCTCTAATTAGAGGAATATTTATTTATAAAAACTGTTTTTTTATTTTAAATGACACATTCAGTGGGATAATCTAGTTGCTTTCTGCAACATTAAACTGGTTTTCAATGCTTGGTATGAAACTTTGTATTAAATTGGCCTTAGAAAAGCAGTTTGAAGAGAATTAACTAAGAAAACGCTATTATTTAGCAGTATTCTATTTTTCAGACATTGGTTGCAGTTGATGTTTGAGTTTTGTTGCGGAATCCTATTACTTTTTATTATCATCACCATTGAAGCTCCCAAAAGTTCTGTAAGTTCTTTTTTCATGTTCAGTTTAATAAATGTAATGCTTACTTAATTGGTATTAAAAACATTAGTAAATTAATGCTTTTGCAAATATAGTTGTGACATAAATTCTCCTTATAATTATGCATTCATTGTGCATTATTTGTAATCTAGTTTTTGTAAATCATAATTAATCAAATTCTTTTTCTTTAGGAGAGAATGTGTTTTTTTTTTCAGTTCAATCTCTAATCTTCTATTAAATCTGGTTCTCGATGTAACTATACATTCTTCATTAAAAGCCAAATTGCGCAGGCATTAATTATTTGATCTTTTGTAAATAGCACTTGGTCATAACTCAGGCTAGCTTCCTCTTTAATTCTTCGACAAAATTATTGTATGAAAAAAATTTTTTTTAAAGGATAATAGTAAAATATATTAAAAAGAAATGTACATTTTCTTGTGTCTTTTTTACGTACAGACTTATTTATTTGTGTACAGTGCACCACAACAAAATTGAATCACCCTGAATATTTTTAGATCTAATGATCGGATCTTCACATTCTAGGACTCAATGGTTCAAGGGATTATCCTCAAATATGCTAATTAATTAGTGCAGACAATATTTTAAGTTACGAATTCAGACACACATACGTACTTTCTCTGAATAATCATACCTTTTTTTTCTTCGTACGGATTTGGATTTCTGACCACCAAAATATTGGTAGCCGCAGTCCGGGAAATAGGGTTCACATACTTCGGTCAGAAGAGCGATCCAAAGTTTGGAGCTCATAATGTTAATTTTATTTTTTGTGTATTTTGTCATATTTCAGGAACTTTTTAAGTGAATTGAGAAATTTTTGTGCACAGTTAAAAAATTTATCTATCTAAAGATAAGTCTATGCCAAAAATGACAATCATTAGATCAGAAGTTATTAAGAGTGGTCTGTTTTTTTTTGTTTTTTTTAAATTTTTTTCTCCTCCTTGTACATTTTTAGAATTGCCGTATAACTGATTTTCCATTATTTCTTCAACTTTACTTCAGGCTTGAAATACAGATGATATTTGGAAAACTATGAAATATTAAAACAAAAGTAATTCAAATTTTCCCCTTGTATGTTTCTTTTTAATTTATGAGCAAATGGCTTGTCTTAAGTAATTTTTCCATAAATTGGACCTGAATCTTCTTTTTTTATTATAAAAGTACACTATTGAAAGTTGTTAAAAGTTCATTTTTTGATATTTTTAATTAACAAAGTATTTTAATTAACAAAGTACTCCTTAATTTTAAAAAGTGCTCCAACAATATTATGTAAACACAATAAGGAAATCAAACAGCATTATAAACTGAGTCAAACAAAATAATAAGGGAAAGTCCATAACCGTGTCTGAGGATCATGCATCCTGTGTTTCCATATAGAATTTTTTTTAGTGGTATTATTATTATTATTATTGTAAATAATTTTGTTTCATAAATTTTAACTTAACAAAATTCTTTAATAATGTTTTTAAATTTCAACGTAGTTTTGTGTTCCCTTTGCCTAATGTGAGGTTCGCTTAGAATTGTGTAAGGTTCTAATAATGTCGATTATACTTTTTATTTTTATTTAAATGCAAAAGTTATTATAAATATTTATATTTTAGGTAAAATTATTATAACATTTTTTTATTATTTAATATTAGAATATAGTTGAAACTCAGAACTATCAATAAAAAATTATGAAAAATCCTGGAAATGTTTATTATTATTAGACATTCATTTGGACATTCAATAGGTACTGCCCGTCTCTGCATCTTTAGAGTGTCTCTCTCTCTGAACCAACAATTCTCATTTTCTCTCTCTGTGAAAAATGAGCTACCCTAAAAAAATTCAATCTGTGTCAGCATCCTTGTGTTTAGTCATGCTGATATCACTTTAAGCAAAATTAATTTTGTAATAAGATCTGATTTAATTTTGAATGAAAAAATGTATTAATGCAATTACAAAAATTTCATTTCATTTTAGGTGGCAAAGCAAATCCTCCCTCTATCTTGCCTGCAAGTAATTGAGAAAGTCACGAAAAATAGATATAATAGCCAAATTCTAGCCATAGTTGTTGTTGTTATCATATTTACAAGTACTTTTGTACCTTTAGTAAGTAGGAATTTGATTTTTTAAATTAATTTAGCTATTATCTTTTGATGCAACCGAAATCAGTTAATAAAATGTTATATTTTTGATATATTCTGTTTAAAGTTATGGCTAAATCTATTTAATAATTTTTCTGTGACCGTTTTTTGTAGATTTATTAGCATATATAATTCTGTAAGTAGACGTGTAGCAAAATATCCTGTTAAAGTTATGACCAGAACATGTTATTCCTTAGATAAAAATGCTCATTCTTCTAATATTAAAATGAAAACAAATTTTTTTTAGAAAAATTTCTTTTAAATAACTTTATGTGATTCTATATGAGCAAAAGGTGCTTGATTCTTACATCAAAACTTAAATGCTTCATCATAAACCTTTTCTGTATGAGAAAAGTTCCTAAGCTTCTAATGAATTTTTGAATATCTCTCTTTCTTATACCTTGAAACTTCAGCAAGGCTCTTCTTGCCTAGAATGTTGCTGAGATCGCTTATATCGTTGCCAAGTTGGCCACAGTCTCACGCCCGATGAGAGAACCTTTTCCTTGCCTGTAATTTGTTATTATAGGCTTTTAAATTGTCTAAAGATTCCAAGCTAAAATTTAGATTTTAGGGAAAATGGTGCATTGTAAACAAACAAAAGAAAATATCTGCAGATTTGGTTATTTTCATAGTTAGAAACATAGATTTTCATCTAAAGAACGTTTTTTGTGCTGCACTGAGTAATCTAATTTAAAATAATGTGCTTGCGGTATACTAGAATTATAAAAACATTTCATTTATTAAAAATTACGTACAACTTCAAAGTCCATTTGGTTTTTTTTTTTTTTTTTTTTTATGCATACATCTTTATTCTGGAAATTTAGATTTGATGTTATTTTGCAGGCTGCTCTTGATGCGACAGAAACTACTAAATGCTGGTCATCATATCTTAATCTTACCATGAATTTTACCATTCATCCTGATATTTGCCAAAATACAGTCTTAGATGCATTCCCATATGTAAGTACACACTTCTGAAATCACAAAAATTTTTATCTAGGCAAATACAATATTTCAAAAGTATAGTTGTTACTAATGTTTTAAATATTAATAATATTAAATTGTATTTCTTTATTTTATTTATTAAACAAGTCCTCAAATATTAGGATTCGAAAATAATTCTCTCAGCTCTTGGAGGGATCAATACCGATATTCTGACTTCATGAAAAATATTTTAAAAATTAACTTTTATCATTTTTAAAAGAGCATTTTAAGGTGGAATGCCCTCATGCCAATTTCACCTATTATAAAACAAACTCTGATGAAACAGTTCATAGCTTGGACAAATTCCTGAAGTGAATTCTGCTTCAAACAGAAATTGTTCTGTATCATACGCCACAGTTTTGAGTGTTTTTCATTCAACAAATTGAACAGTATATTTCACTGCATAATAATGAAACATAACGCAATGCATACAGGGTTGCGTTCGCCCTACATTTTCTATTTTTGAAAAAATTTTCATGAAGTATCCTATATTTGCCCTGTACTTAAAAAAAAACAGTGTTTTGTCCTATATTTTATTTCTAATATAAAGTTTCTTTCGGCATTTATTTATTTTGATTTTCTGGTTGTGAGAAATATTTTGAATCAATATTCGTAATGTTTTATATTAACTCAAACTAACTACTCCCACGTTTTCCCCCCAGTGTTAAGTACTTTTTCACTAAATGCTGTTTTTGTTCATTTTTCAGTTTATCATATTTTTTTTATTTCTGTAATTTTTCATATTCATTAAAAATTTATTAAAAAAACAAAGATCTGTGTAGAGTATCATATTTTGACTCACACGAAATAACAAAGCTAACTGCCATGGATATACAAAAGCAAAATAATTACATTGAAACATAAAATTAGTACAGTTAGTAAATTGACTAAAACTGCCTCTATAGTATTTTTATTGATTTTTCTTTTTACCTTTTCTTAAACTGCTTACTTGAATGTAATATTAAAAGGTGTGACTCCTGCTTCCATAAAATGGCCCCCATGTCAAAACAGTTCCCCACCACTGAGACAGGAAATCAAGTTGGGTTTTATTGACTGCATAATTTGAAAATATTTCTCTTGTGTATTTTTACATTTTTTATCCAATGTGCACTTTTGATTCAATTCTTGAAAATTAGTTCAGCCCCTGTTAAGTTATCAGTTAGTTAGCCCCCATATCAAAACAGTTCCCCACCACTGAGACAGGAGATCAGGTTGGGTTTTATTGACTGCATAATTAGAAAATATTTCTCTTGTGTATTTTTGCATTTTTTATCCAATGTGCACTTTTGATTCAATTCTTGAAAATTAGTTCAGCCCCTGTTAAGTTATCAGTTAGTTAGCCCCCATATCAAAACAGTTCTCCACCACTGAGACAGAAGATCAGGTTGAGTTTTATTGACTGCATAATTAGAAAATATTTCTCTTGTGTATTTTTGCATTTTTTATCAATTCTTCACTCAATTTATCACTTTTGATTCAATTCTTGAGATTTCAGACACTGTATAGTAACCAAGGATATAATTCCTTTATCTAACTGAAAACAAAAACATTTAATTGAAATTTGAAATTTTTTTAATTGTTAGACAATTATCTAATTTATTGAATTGATTTCTACAGAACATAACTTTCTGCATGATGCTCGTGATGTCTTCATGCGGTGCCTTTCTCGTCCTATCGACCGTTCAGAAACTTGTCACTTTATTATCCGCTTCATTTGTCTTCTGCATACTCGTCCTCCTCACTCATGTCGAGCTTATCGATCTTTTCGACTTAGTGCACAGGTAAATCATTTTCTCAGTCAGTACAGATCAAAGAAATATATTAAAGCTATAGATTTGACAAAATGCATCACTAAGTTTAAGAAGGATCTTGTCTTAAGATTTTAATTTTAGAGGGGTCAAAAGATAATACCAAAAAAAAATTGGAGAATGAATTGTATTTCATGTTATTGAAAACTAGCATTTTGTTTCAAAAAGTTTGCATAAATTCAATTTTTAAAAACAGCATTTTTTTTATTAAAAATAATTTTGTATTTATATTTGGAGAGAACTGAACCCCTAATACTTATTTTTCGTTTTTATTTTATTTGTGTTTTTTATTATTATTATTTATTCAGTATCACCTATGAAGATCTACATTTTAAAAGATGTTTATGCATTTTAGCACTTTTTTTTTTCTTAAAAAGAACTTTTAAATTAAGTCTACAATAAATTCTGTTTGCTTATTAGAGATAAAAAATATTTGTATTTAAAAAAAAAGTTTCCTTTTTTTTTTGTTGAAAATTTTAACCTTTGATCTAGTATATTAATAGATAGTGGAAAAAATAAGCTTCAGGGCTGTGAAAAAATGACACTAATATAATTTAATAATGTTAAAGGATTATATGAACGATTCCCATTCTAAAGAAGTTAGATTCTTTTTCATTGACATAAAAATTGTTGGACAATCTAGTCCTATAACATCTGAAATAAAAATGTTAGTAAGTAGGAAAAAATAGTTATAAAAGTAATTGATAAGACTAGAAACATAAAGAATACAGCTTTAATTTAAAACATAGGAAACCTCAATACATATTAACTTTGCTTAGTAATAAATATGTTACCGTGCATGACGGAAATCAAGAGAATGCCGACTTTCACCAGTGAATGTCAACAATCACATTGTCGCTTTCGTGAATGTCCAAAATATTTGTTACATCGAATTTGATATTAATTTATTTTTTGATATTATTATTAATATTTTAATCTGCATTGTCGCTGAGGATAGATTTGGAGAAACATCAGTGTTTGGAGTACCGGTTAAACGCATACTTGGCAGTGGCACTTGACTTTAAAAAAACATTGATGTAGGGCAGTGGCACTGAACCTTAAAAAAACATTGTTGTAGGGCATACCGGGCAAATGTATGCCAGTCAGTGGCACTTAACTTGACCTAGTATATATTTCGGACATTTACCACAGTGACATATATATATATATATTAAAATAATCTACTTACAAGTGTTCAGATAATTACAAATACATTCTGTTTTGTGTTCCAATAGTAGTTAGATTTAGAATATCAAAATATAAACTTTTAAATGTAATACTGAATAGCTAAAAAGAATTTTTTTTAAAGTTTTAACTGTGTTTTTATTTATTTAAAATTTTAAATTGGAAGTTTATTTGGCCTTTTTGTATACCCTTTTAACTCTTATTAAGAATTGAATAATTTAGAATAACTGCCTAATTGCATTAAGTTATAATTTTAAGAATTGCCTTAAGTTATAATTTTAATAAGTGAATTTTGTAATTTTGATTTTTTTTGTCAATTTTTATTTATAAAATTGCGAGTAATAAGAGCTTGGTTACTTAACAAAATAAAAAGCAATTTTTAAGCATTATAGAAATTTGCAATTTCAGTTTTGACATCTCTTACTTTTCGAATCATTGTATAAATATAGTAGTTGATAAAAAGAAGTTCAACAATAAAACTTCTTCCCCAGTTAAAAGTTGAACTGAAATTTTACTGATCTGTTTGGATGAAAAGCGGTCGCATGCACAAGATATGCGAATATGGAAATTATGTGGCATTTAAAAAATGCCCCCAAGGCCACTTTCTACCTATTTCTAAAACATGCACAATTTAGATGAAATGTACAAATCATATTTTAAAAAATATAAAATGAACAATATTTTTTTTATCACTAAAGCAATATATATATATATATATATATATATATATAATATGGAGAATTTTCTCAAAACATTAGCTTTTGACTAAAACAATTACAAAAATATAATTAACTTAATGTTGTTAGTTTTCATTTGTTATCTCATAAAAAATGTTGTCACTGCTTCCTTTCTTGAATGCTTTAAAAGCACATAAAGAAAGTATTCAATCTTTTTCTCTGAACTCAGAATTAATAAGTTAAGATAAGAAAACATATTAAATAATATTTAATTGAAAACTTATTTATTTATTTTTTAAAAAAAATAGATCTTGAATTTTTAAAAATATACTAAGAATTTGCATAAAAATATCTTTGTATCACTTATATTTTTATATTACCTTTAGTAAGACCACATTTTGTAAGCTAACACATAATTTAAAACCAAACTCTTGTTTATTTTTTTAAAATGTGTTTTTGCGTAGGGGGCAGTAACTACAATAAAAGGACAGTGTCAGTAATAACAATAAACAGGAAAAACACACCTTTTTTCTGTAAAAAAAAAAGGAAAAAAATCAAAATATATTTTTTAACTACACCTGATGTTCTATGATGGAAAAATATCAATATTGTTTATTTTGCATTTTAAAATATGATTTGTATATTTCATCTGAATTGTGTATGTTTTAGAAATGGGTAGAAAAAATTATGTGCCATTTAAAAAATGGCTTGGTGGCATCTTTTAAATGCCACATAATTTCAATATTCGCATATCTTGTGCGTGCAACTGCTTTTCCTCCTAACAGACCAGTAAAATTTCTGTTAACTTTTTACTGGGGAAGAAGTTTTATTGTAGATCTTCTTTTTATCAACTATATTTATACAATGATTCGAAAATTAAGAGACGTCAAAACTGAAATTGCAAATTTCTATAATACTTAAAAATTGCTTTTTATTTTTTAAGTAAACAAATAAACTTCCAATTTAAAATTTTAAGTAAATAAATAAATAAAAATGTAGTTGAAACTTTTAAAAAAAATTCTTTTTAGCTATTCAGTTTTACATTTTAAAGTTTATATTTGGATATTCTAAATCTAACTACTGTTGGAACACAAAACATAATGTATTTGTAATTATCTGAACACTTGTAAGTAGATTATTTTAACTTAATCTCAATAATATTCCTAACAGTTTGCTCTTAAGTATTAAAATTTTGTATTCTTCTTTTTACTAATACTATTCTTTTTGTTAGATAATAATATTCCTTTATTATTGTTTGGAATCTGACCAAAAATTAACTAAATATGTAATAATATAACCAAATGAATCAAACATAATAAAAGTTTTTCGAATAGTTAAGTGATTATAGACCCTTAGATAATTACTATAATCTTGAGAGCTACCTTGCAAAAAAAGGGATTATTTCAAGTTTTGTTTGAGACAGGCTCAGTGTGACCCCCTAAAGTACACGACACACTTCTAGTTGGTTATCCATTTCCTCTAAATCATGCTCATTGATAGAGGCTGTGATACACCATTTAAGCTCCTCTAGATAAACAGGGTGGGGGAAGACCTTGTTTTTTACATACCCCTGCTGGAAGAATTCACAAAATGTTAGGACAGGACTTCTGGATGGCCATTGAGTAAGTGGTAATCCGTGGTTTGTCCAATTCTTCGATGAGGGAGATATTCATCAATGTAACTCGCAGATAGGCTGACTAGTGTGGTTGTGCACCATCAAATCGTTATTCTACCACAGTGGCATCAGCCAAAGTGTTAAGGTGTTGAAAAAAAGTAGCTTCCGTGACACTTTCCTCTTGAAAAAAAAAGGGGGCAAGCACTTTTTCTGGGCATTGCACAGAACATATTTACCTCAGGGGATTCTCTGTCCTCAAATGTGGGCGTTTTGCTTGTTTATCTTCCCGCTGACGTGAAATGTTGCGTCATCGGTAAAAACTATGCAGAATTAATCACTCTGGATGGATTTGATTCAGATACCTTAACACTCATTTGGGGGAAACAGATTGCCGGCGAGATATGTATCATATGCCTGAAGGGTCACCTATCAGCAACTGTTTCTTACAAAACTCTAAATAATCTCATATAATTTTGTTGCAGGTAGCATATTATATCTTACATTGTTCTTGATTTATAGTGTATTGAAACTGTATACTTCTTAATGAATCACCCTGTATACAAACTTGGTCAAAAACTGAGATCTTAGTTAAGTGTAATCATGAAATTTTGCGCATGAACTTTAGAAGCCATTACCTTTATAGATTGTGTTTAATGTGCAAAAGTAAACGTAAAAATGTCTTTTAACTCAATACTACAGTACAGAACCCGTTATCGGGAAATCAGAAAACCGGAAAACCAAAAAACCGTAACGAAATTCAATAAGTTTTCCCGCCATTTTTTTAAAAAAAAATTTTATTCCTCATAAGATTTTAGGATTTTTCTTTCTTTTTTGAAAGATGTTCCCCTTACCATCATTTTGGAAATAATGATTAGTGTATTACTTAATCGTTTTTTCTTCTTTTTAAGATTATTTCAAAAAAAAAAATTTTTTTTTTGTTGGGTTTAACAATAAAAAAACGGTTTTTTGTAGCGACTCAGAAAACCGGAAAAATCAGTTATCCGGCAGTTCCCGATCATTCCGGATAATCAGTTCCCTACTGTATATATTTCTGTTTATAAAGTTACACAAACTTATTGTTGCTTTTTTTATCAAATTACATTTTTTAACAGCTGTTATTGATTTTTTTTAAGCCGATGAGTAAACAGTTAGCTCTTGTACAGTTTAACTAAACTTCCAATTCAGTGCAAATTTTGTTCTTGTGCAAGAACTAAATATTACATTTTAATGCTTCTCAAAATTAGTCCTGAAGGTACTGGAGTACCATCCAAATACTGCCTCACCATAATGCTGTTGCTGTTTGTGGGTGCTCTTGTTGTTCATGGTCATCAAGCAGAAGCTACTTCACGCCTGGATTTCTTGTGGAAACTTCAGGCTCTGGAAGAGAAGGAAGATATGGAACACCTACAAGCATACAACCGAAAGCTTCTTGCCAACATACTTCCGGCTCATGTTGCTGAATATTTTTTAACTGGCGATCGGAAAAATGAGGTAACTGCACATTTCATAAACACTTCAGGGGGTTGTCATTTGTTTATTTTTGTTGATTGGGTGAGCAGAAGAGCATGACTAATTCTTGCATAAGATTCTAAAATCTCCTTATTTTCAAATTTTATTTTTAAAAAATTTTTTTAAAACTATTTATAAATTTGAAATAAAAATTTAATTTTTTAGAAAGTGGAAAGAAATTTCTTTAAAGAGTTTCACAATTTTATAAAATTACATTTTTCAAACATAATCCTATAATTTCAAAAGTAAATTACTTCAGTAAAAATCAAAATTGATGCAAAAAAATGAGGGGAATGTTAAGACTTTCTTGCAAAAGCATGGGACAGGGTTCTAAGTTTTACAAATTTAAAAAATAAATAAATATGCCTTTCTTTCTTAAAATATAAATTATCAAAGGACAAAATTATTATTAGTGTGTATCATATTAATTTTAAAAAAAGTTTGAAGTACTGAGTTTTTGTGAAATTGCTGATAAACAATGAAAGAAAGGCTTTAATTTTCATCAAACTATTTATATTCAGGGCATCCAGCCAATCTAGATATTGTTTAATTTCCACTAATTTCTAAAAAATGTCTACAAAGGTCGGGGGTAAAAAAATATGGGTTTAAACTGGGTTATTTAAAACAATATGTTAAACGATATTTTGAGCCTTTAGCTAAACTATTCCAAAGTATTTCATTTAACTACATAATCTATTAAACTATTAATTAATATTTTGAATAAAAATTTTAAAAAATTCACTTTTGCTCCTTAAATATGCTAATATAATTATAAAAAAAAAAACTTAAAAATATGCTTTTATGTCACTTTACAACTCCACTTAACATGCAAATAATCATTTACATTTTGTTTTAGACTGAATTGCCCCTTGCTTATCTGCAATACTACAATACTTCTGTATTATTTATTTGGTGTCAATATTTAGCTGTATGCAATTTATAATTATAATATTAATTAAATTTTATGAAATGTATATTTCTTGTTTTTTTTCTTTTCATTCCTTTAAGTCAATAAAATTTAGTAGTATTTAACAGGATGCATGGAATTTTTAAAAAGTTCTTAAAAGTGCTTATTTTCGATTTTCATTTTTTAAAGCCCTTAACGGTGCATTTTTAATTGGGTCTTTTTGAAAAGTGCTTAATTTTCCCTTTTCCAAAATGAAATTTTTCTTTTACCCTGTTGAATTTCGCTACGAATTATGCTAAAAGACATTGTTCTATTCAACGTTTTCACAATTAATTCAACCCCAATCTATTTCGGCGTATCGTCAGTCCGTAGCGCATTAAAACACCATTCAATTTACATGATTCAAAAAATTTGACAATTATAAAAAACAATGCCGATTTTTTTTTTTTTTTTACATGACGGTTAAAACTAGGTAAAACCGTCAATTGTCAAAAACTCAAAGTGCTTAAAAATAATATTTGAGTGCTTAAAAGGTGCTTATTTTTTGTTGAATAATTTGGCTACTCACCCTGTTTAATATATTTAAGGCAATAGTATTTTAACATATTTAAGGCAATGTATAATATACACAGGGTTCATACGCACCTGAAATATAGGGAAAACTGGGAATTGTCAGAGAAAACGAGATGCGGAAGAAAAAGTCAGGAGGGAAAGTAATTTTACCGCAAAACCTTGAATCTTCAGGAAATTTAAGCAGACAATAAAAACCTAAAGGCAGACAATTATTTCATGAAACAGATTGCAAATTTCTTTTTTTACGAGTGATACATTTCTAATTCTGTTAAAATTTTGTTTGCAATAAATTTTGTACTCAATAAGTTAGTTCTTATTCATAAGTTTTAAGACAAAAATATTTTTTTGAATTCAGTAGTTCTTAATATATCTCTGGGTTTTAATATTTATATTAGTGCTTCTTTTAACTATCACTTTCGTGTGATTTTATTAAGTGTATTCTTGGTTAATAAGTTTTCCTTATGCTTTATCATTTTCTTTTTTTCCTTATAATTAGGTATAAAATATATTGTTTTTTAATCATTACTGTGGTTTTATTTATTTTATTATAATTTTGCTTAATTTCAATTAATGAATAACTTTAATTAACTTAAAAATTTGTTACTTCATTTTTTGATTTATTATTTGGCATTATTAAAAAAAATTTATTAATTTTACAATTTTAATTTATATTTTCTATCTGTATACCCATCTTATTTATGGTTTCACTTTTTTTTAAATAAAAAATCTTAGCACGTTGCATTTTTATAGTTTTTTCCTCTTCTATTTTTAAAAATGTTCTTGATTAAATATGATTTATTTTCAATCAAATGCAGGTTATTTGTATATATATATATTTTAGAATGACTTAGTTGTTGAAAAAATGTTTTTGTTATTTTATTGGTTAATAAGTTCTACTCAGTGTTTTCATCATAGAAAAGAAATGGGTGAGAATTTTTGACCCTTTCTCAAAATCATGGTGAGATTTCAGAAAGTTAAGTGAGATTTCTAAAAACTAAAAAAAACACAAATAGAATTGAAAAAGAAAATCATTTCTCTTATAATAATACATTTTTAACGTCTTCTATATTTTAAAGCATTGAATATTTTTGCTGCATCATCATAGAAGATTTTGCCTTTACTAGGTATTTGTCCATCTTACATTAGTGCATAAAAAATTTGAATGTCTTACATGAGAAAACCTTACCTGAGGTAAACACGTGGTTGCAGAGAAATGTGTTCTGAAAAGGGTTGTGTTCCTTTGTTCGAAAGGGTTCTGAACAATACTGGTAAATAGGGAAGCTAGATAATGGGACAAATGTTGAAAATAATGAAAGATCCAGGAAGAAAAATTAAACGGATTTTATTCTCAATAGCGTAATTCGAAGCTTTTTTCAAAATGCGTGAAATTCGTGAATTTTGAAATTGATTTATAGAATGCGTGAATTTCTCGCGGTAATTTTTTAATTGAGAAAAGAAAAAAATATGCGAGATTCTCGCGCTGTAGTGAAAACACTGTCTACTTTAATTTTTTTGTTTTCTGGCAGTTTTGTTTCATATTTTACGATAATTTGATAATCTACATAATAGCTAAGGATTATAAATGTTACGTTCTTATGGTTGATTTATTATTTTGTTCGTCTCTTGATAAAAAGCATTATTTTTCAGTTATTCTAATTGACTTAATATGATAACTATCGATTAATTTTAATTAGTCCTTTTTAGAATGGTTTTATAATTGAAGTTTAAAAATTTTTTTTTGTTTTCTTTTTAAATGAGTATCTCTCAGTTAAATTTTACAATCTTATTGATCTTTCTCATACAATAAATTTTTTATTGATGCTAATATATTGGGTTTGGGTATATATATTTTTTTTCTTTAGCCCACTAATATGTCTGCAATTTGCTTATCAACATCAGCATTAAATAAAATTAATTATTGTAAATGATTTTTTGTTAAAATTGTTTTTTTAATACAAAAAAATTGAGTTTTTAAGTATTACAAAAAAGAATAAAATCATAATTTAATACGAATTTGTTTTCACTGATTTAAAAAATGTAACAGAAAAGGTTTTAAACATAAACCAAAAAGTGAAGCATTAATTATAGACAGGCACATCATTGCAATTTATGCTTTTGATAGTAACAAGTCAAATGTGTCTTAAAAAAGATATGAAAAATTTCTATAACTTTTTATTTCATTTGTTTAATAATTACATTATTTAACTCATTTGAAAATAATGCAAAAATGAATTTGTTTGTGTTGTGTTTTACTTTTATGGGTGTTTTTGCGGGAAATCTATAATATATAAAGATTTAAAAATTATGTATTTATATTTATTTAAAAAGAAATGCAGATTTCCATTAGTTTTTGAACTTAAAAGTTGAAGATTTTTATAAAAAAATTTAATATTTCCGCATTAAGTTCTATTCCAACAAAAACTATTTTATATAGATAATAAAAATTAAACTTTTAAAAAGAATCCATTTTGTTTAAACCACATTGGTTTAAATCAGCCTATCCTGACAGAGGTGTTAACTATGGTATCTTTGATTCATTTTTATAGATAAGATATATTTTAATACTAATGAAAAATACAATTTTCCTACTGTTTTTTACACTTAATTTTTTTAATAACAAGTTACTTTTATTTAATAATATCCTGGTTATCATAAATTAAGAAAAATCACCAAAAATGTATGTAACTCAAAAAGTTATGCATAGAATTTTATGATTTGGTACACATAATAATGTATAAATTATGTATGAAATCATATGTGTCAGTTTTGAGTAGAAAAGTACCTTCAGTATGAAGTGTGATCCCCTCTACCAGCAATAAAACATAACTTTCAAATATGTGGTCTGCTAGTTCTGTTAGAAGTGTGATCCATTATTCTTGCAAAGCAGTTGCAAAAGTTTAAGGAGAAGGGTTGAGACTCATCTTCCTAAAGTATCGATAAAGTTCGAGTCTTGTAATCGAGCTGTCCAGTCGATGCGCTGAATCCCTTCCTGCTGAAGATTGTGAGCCCTGTGTGATTTTGCAGTATTGTTTTGTAGCACAAAATCATCACCTATTGCACCAGCATAAAGGATGTCATGTCTATGCACATGAGCACATTGAAAGACATGTAGGTTTATGCATCCTCTAAGAGATACCATCTTACACACTTGCATCTCTTTCACAGATGATGAATGATAGTGGGTTCTCTCCAAATCAAACAATGCCTACTATCATCTGTGAAGTGAATCCAATCATCAGTGGGCATGTATCTGCGCTTACCGCAAAGGTTCCCTTCTATGGTGTGGCGAGATTAGCACAAACAAACCATGTTCACGAAGCCACACAGTAGAAGTTGACGCCATTCTGCAGTGAGAGAGGCTCTGAGCTAACTCAGAGTTGCGATTCTATTCCTTTGTGCACGTAATGATAAATATCCGTGATCGAGGCTCATTGCAGTGTATTTAGTTCCATGCGCTACTTTATTAATTTATTCATGTTTTGAATTTATGATATTTACAGGCTTTTCCGTCTCTCATGTCTGGACAAATGACGCTACTGAATAAAATACAAATAATGGTACAAAAATAAACATATTATAGTTTTGATTCCGCAACTTTTTCCCGTGTTGAAACACAGAACATTCACATTTTGTTTTCTACACGAAGAAAAATTCTTATTTAAAAACTAAATTATAGTATGTTCGTTTTTGTGCTATTATTTGTGTTATATTCATATTTTTTTAGCTTTATTCATTTGTAGCACAAAGTATACCTTATCCTCCTTTTGGAAATGAAAACGCTATAGCATGTTCATTTTTATGCTTTTTGTGCTCGATTCATGTTTTTTAGCTTTATTCATTTGTAACAAAGTATACCCTATCTTCTTTTTGGACACAAAAATTAAATTATATGTTCATTTTTGTGCTCTATTCATGTTTTTTAGCTTTATTCATTTTTTGTACAAGTTAAATTCTTTTAGAAATAACATTGTTCTTTGAGGACAGTTGTATGTAATTTATTATGATTTTTTTAGGATTTGTATCATGAGCAGTGTGAAAGTGTGGCAGTCATGTTTGCTTCCATTCCTAACTTTAGTGAGTTTTATATGGAACTCGAAGCTAACAACGAAGGGGTCGAATGTTTGAGGCTTTTGAATGAAATCATTGCTGATTTTGACGAAGTGAGCTCAAAAATAATTTTTCTAAAATTAGTCTCATTGAGACATGAATAGATTTCATAAATATCTGATAATAAAACTGTATAATAAAATATGTAGTACAAATAATTCTTTATGCTTTAAAATTTTACTTGAGAACCTGTTTTGAAAATTTTGTAGACCCCTTTAATTGTTTATAAAATACTTTTATAGTGTATAATTATAGTGCTTACAAAATAAATTTCAGATATGTTAAGAACTAATTTGAATAATAAACCAACTCCAAACAATTAAGTTATTCTCTCTTTCCTGTTTATTTTTATCTTGTTTTAAAGCAATGGCAACTCTACCTGAGTGAGAATATAAAATATATGACAAGATAGGAAAAAGAATCACAAAGTAAATGAAAGCAGTGTTGTCTCACTATTCATATAAACCAGATGGTTTTTGTTGTGTCCCTCAATTCTTTTAATTCATTTAAAAATTCAATAGTTTAAAAATAGATTAACTATTATATTTACATCAATAATGATAATTTAAATTAAAAAAGGCATTAGTGGTTCAACAGCCATGAATTAGTAAGAGAATTAATAGTTTAAGAGGTTAAGGAAAGGTCCTTTACTTACAAAACAGTTAATTTTTTTAATGGCATTTTAAATGCATAGAAACATTAGGATGCTGTTTCCATTTGAAAAATATTTTATTTGAATTCATGTAGAATAAAGTGTTATATATTTGCATACTTTACGACTGTAACGTGTTTTAAACTTATCGTTTTTAGTGTTTTCAAAATGTTACTCATTCTTTTTCATTTATCTATAAATAAGGTGAGAATAAGAGATAAACGTTGGGTTAACCAATTAGATTACTAATTCTAATTAGTTAAAGTTTGAGGATTGGTTCTTCTTTGCTTGATTGGTTAAAGTTCTGAGATTTTCAATTTTAACCTACTAAAACTCAATCTAATCAATTCAAGCCAGTTTGAGCCAAAAGAAAACAACAACAATCTGAGCATCTGGTTAACTTTAAAACATCAGAATACCAATAACCTTAAAAAAAACTATTGTAGGGATTTCTAATATGCTTCAAGACTCGTAGGCTTTATATATAGGAAAGGGTTGTTGTTAATAATGTTAATCTTACCAAAAGTATACCTCTTTGATCATTGAGCTTTAACCAACTAGGATTCTTTAGACCTTTTTTTTGTGTATATTTTGGCCCAGTTAAGAGTTTAAAAATAGAACTGTTGGTGATTATGCGGATTTCAACCCACAAAGGATTGGTTGACCCCTCGTAAACCAGTTGAAACCTGCATTTTATGTTTGTCTTTCATTCTTGTTTTATTTGTAACATATACGCGTAATTTTAAGAAATATAAAGCATGCCTATCGATTTAAAAATTTTGACCCAAAATAGAAAAAATATAGATTTGTCTTAAGCTCTATTATTTATAGTATAGCCTCTTAGTTTTAGTTAAAGTTATTTATGACAGAGTGCGAAAATAAGTGGTTTAGAAGCAATTTTTTTTAATAAGTAGAAAAGGGAGGCTAGTGTTGATATTTCTTATAAATTTGTTTTAAAAAATAAAATTAAAACTATATTTAATGTAATTTTTAGGTCTTGAAGTATCTTTTTAACAATAATTTGAATGATCACCTGCATTCTAGTTTATACCTGGAATTACGAAGTTGTTTACTTTTTCCATTTAAATAAAAGGCTGATTTTGCCCACAAGTGGACAAACTATGGGGGGGCTAGTGTGGACAAACTAGATACTTATTAAATAGTCATTTATTACATCTCAGAATGGTATATTTAAAGCCAAAATAAAACCTATTTCTATCTAATCTTTTTTGAGAATGAGTATTGTCATCTTTTAATTAAAATACTAATTTGTAATGGAGAATTTTATTTCAATAAGAAAGATGTTTTAAATACAAATCAATGCATCTGAAAATCATTATTCAATTTGATTTATTTGAAAGCACAAAACCAATATAAAGTAGAATCGAATTGAATAATCATAGTTTTAACTTGATTATGAAATGGTTCTAATGGACAACACCCTCACCAAAACAATGAAAATAACTTTCAAAAGAGAAGACGTTTGCTGATATTCTGTTTTAGTTTAATGTGTGGCAAAAATTCTTCATCTATGTTGAATTTTATTCTTTTAACGAACTTGATAAAATATCTTCCTTTAAATTTTCTTAAAGCCTTTAAAGAGTGAATTAATATAAATATTTTGTGATAAAAAAATTTTTTTTTACTTAATATTGAAACCACTAATTGCAAAGGTCTACAAAATAATGCTGATTTAGAAAATAAATAATATCACAAGTTGAATAGGGTCAAAGTGAATACTTCCACACGTTTATGAATCGTTAATTGAAAGCATGCAGAGCAAGTGCCAAAATAGGTTTAAAAATTTTCACCTTTTGTTGAAATTTGTTAATGAAAGAGTTACTTTTGTACTAAAAATTTCTATCGGAGTATTCACAGTCTGATTATGCAACTGCAGTGTTTAGCAATCTCTCACAGATGACTGATAAATTAAAAAGAGATCCATCTCCTATACTAGCTAGATGAAGAAGATCTTTGAAAAGTTTTCAAATAATTTAATTGATTTGAATTTAGTGCAAAGACATTTTAATTATTCAGTGTGCTGACCTGAACAAACATCTTTTAATATAACTTTATAAAAAAATACATAAATTAACAAATAATAATGAGAGTAGACTTTTACTGATAAATAAATTGAATTGTTTTCGAAGCAATGCAAAGGCTTATTGAAATTTTCAGCAATGGGCCACAAGTCTTCAACCTATTCGCAGAGAGGTAGTGTAAATAACAATATCGCGCAATCGTTTTCCTTGCTGGCAGATCGTTTGCTTGACATTGTAAAAAGGCCACACAAAAAATATCTGTAAACTAAGAGATATATTATAAAATATATTATAATTGAAATGATAGTCAAAAAGAAATGAAATCATAAATTAAAAAGATAATAATTATCTTCTATGAAGCAATAACTTTGTCCAAGTTTTTTTTTGTCAAACCCTGTATTGTAATCTAAAAACTTATTTTGTGTTTTAGATTTTAGAAGAAGATCAGTTTACATGCATTGAAAAGATAAAAACTACAGGTTACACATACATGGCAGCATCTGGTCTTACTTCTAGTACTGTTGATCTTACCAACTACAACCATGTTACTAAAATGGCTGATTTTGCATTGAGATTAAAGGATCAATTGGATTATGTCAACATGCACTCATTCAATAACTTCAAGATTAGAGTGGGTGAGTGCATTTCTTTTCACTTAACTAGAATGCTAATAAAAATAATTTCTTCTTTATAAAAAATCTGTTTCTAATAAATATATANGTGCATAGATATATATATATATTTTACTTAGATCAGTTTTCTTACTTTTATTTAAATAATTTTTTTTAATATCAGTAAAATTATTTTAAATATTTATTTAATTAAGCAGCAAATGTTTAAAATTGAAATTTTGAAAATAATACCGCTAGTGTGCTATGTATATTTTTGTTGTATATTTAATATTTTTGTTTCAAATAATAGCGTTATTATCGTACTTTAAAGCACTAATTCCCAAATGGCTCCAAATTATTCTCATTCAGTTTGGTTGTTCTCAATGCGTTAGAGTCGCATTAATGAACTGGAAATTTTTAGTGATAATTCAAAAACAGTACTGGATGTTCTACACTACCATAATGTAGACCAGGAAGTAATGATAGTAATAACCCAGCTTATGCACCGCACTGACAAATGCGCTAGCTTTGTGTAAATTCTGACTTTAAAACCACTTTAGGCATTACATTGGAGTGGATTCTGTCGAGAACCAGATCAGACTCTTATCACTGGAAATCAAACCCTGACATTGCCCATCATACCAACCAGGCATCTAAAGTGAAATTTAAAAATTATTATAGACATATAGCTCCAATTTCGACTTCTAATTAGAACACCTTTTTTTTAGAAAAAAAAACAGCATGCCTAAGTTAATCATTGTACGTAGGAATGTGAATCTATTTAGGAAAATTTTTATTATTATTTTGGAAAAAATTTTATCATGAAAATGTATTTAGGTTCATAAAATTTAACTTTCGTCATGAAACCCTTAATACGTTAAATGTTTTATCATCTATATTTTATATGGTTATTTAAAAAAATGTTCTAGATTTTATGGAGACTCTGTAACTACTGCATGTTGAAGTCTTCTTTCTTGGGGCTCTTTTTCACTGATATCTTCTCTGATGAATGTTGTCAGAACATATTTCAACATATAGACATGTATCAAAAGATCTGTAATAGTTAATGTAATTTTAAATTATTAATAGTGTACTGTGTATTTTTTTTTTATTTTAAGAAAAAATTATTTCTGATATTATTTCATGCTTCTGAAATTATTTATCTTGTCAATTCGAAGAAAATGTGAACTAAGTGCTTGCAAAAATATGTTCATAACTAACTAAAGACTGTATTTTCCTTGTTAAATTTAGAATCTTATTAAGTAGGACATCAAATTAATTGGTTCTCATCATACCAAGCAATTGTACCAGTGCACCAATTGAACTTGAAATTAAGAAACAAAAAAATGGTCACCATTGACCATGTTCTCATGAACCTGAGAAGTTTAAAGTTGTGGGGAAAGTAAAAATCGACATGCCAACCTTCGTTTATCAAAAGGTACCACAAGATTGAATTGAGATAACATGTCAGTGAATTGATGTTTAGTAGTCATAGTGGTAGTTACGCCACAATACTCCTCCACCAGAATTTAATCAGGGATAGAATTCGACGAAAGGATATCAATAGTTGCCGTACTTGCGGAAGAGCTGTATTAAGTTCATCAGATTTTTGAGCGCTTGTGGTGAGGGCCGTATTAAGTTCACTGCTGTGTGTATGGTAGTGTTGCTATTAGCAGTCGAGTGTGCGGGATTCCATTGTGAGTAGATGAGACTGAGAAACAACAATGAGAGAAGGACGATGACACAAATAGCAGATCAATGTGGGCAATCCATTAAAGTAGGCCTGAACGTATCACGTCTGAAGGTAACCAATATGGAAAAGATAGACTATGTCAACCTTCATCTGTCAAAAGGTACCTCAAGATTGAATCTAGTTAGCATGTCATGTTTTATAGTCGTAGTGGTAGTTAAGCCACAAAGTAATCCCTATTGAATCCTGTAAAGTAACAGGATAAAAGTCTAAAACGTAAAAAAAGTTGACAAAAGATTATCATAAGTCAATTTCAATCAGCAAGACTTGAATGGAGACAAAACATTTTGCCACAAATAAAGTTATATTGAGAGCAATGATAGGGAACATATGTGTGTATAGTAACAGTTTATAAATTTTGTTAGCATCTATTTTAAATCTAGGTTACCCTATGCTATTCAAAAATATGATGATGGAAGCTTTATAAAATTATAAACTAAGATTGTTAACATCGGAGTAAGAGTATATATTGAATACTAAATTTTATTTTACTGCAGTTATGTTAAATATTTTAAATATATTATGAAAAATTCCAAAGGTAATGTAGTTACCTGAGTACCACATTGTTAATAGTTTTAACTAGTTTTTATTACTTATCACATTGAAAACCAGCTTAAAATATCAAAAAACCAACATTAATGACTGTATAGAAAGTTTTAATTTTTCGCAGTTGATGTTAGGGAGCTGTGAAAGGTACTTTATTGTGATTGATTTGCAGGTTTGAATGTGGGACCAGTTGTGGCTGGAGTGATTGGTGCAAAGAAACCTCAATATGACATTTGGGGAAATGCTGTAAACGTTGCCAGCAGAATGGACAGCACTGGAGAACTAGGAAAAATTCAGGTACGATTCTTTTAAATATTGAACAATGTTTTTTTTTTCAATATTTTGCTTATTAAAATAAAAATTTTAAATAAGAAAAACATAATGCTATGCTGATTGTAGTGAAGTATCTTTTATTTAAAATTAATTTATATTTATTTAATTATATAAATCTTTTCTCTATTTATCATACAGTATCTGAGGGTTATTCTCTACATTATGAGAGAACTTATTCTCTTATATTTATTTTTGTTTCTTTCTATGGGTTATAAACTATAAGTCTTGCAAGTGGTATATGCAAATTAATTGGTATTTCAGTAAAATATATATATATATATATATATTAAAAGCATTTTTCAAGCTTGTGTCTTTGTATTAAATGTAAAACACTAAAGCATATAGTTATATTAAATCTTATCTATATTAAATNCAGAGAGAATGTTCACTTTTACAAATGTAATTCAAATTCTATTAATAACTGTTAGTTTTTGTTAATGCTGTTTTTTTTATAATATTTATTTATTTATTTTTGCATGTATAATTAGTTACTTTTACTCAGTTTTTTTTAATTTTTTAATATTATTTACTTATGATAAACATAACTACGAATAATTTATTATTGTTGATGTAATTAAGGAATAAAGTATGAGAATGATTAGGTGGGGAAAAAAAGCCAATGAATTTGTAATATGCAAGTCAACAAATAGAGAAATTGAAAATCAGTATATAATTTCTAGTTGTGATAGTTGCTGTCTCCAATTTTTTGCTCTTATTATGTATTTAATATTCTTTTTAAATACTCCTTTCTTTTTGCCTTGTAATGCTTATTTAAAAAACGTGCTTTTAAATATCACTGAATACTCTTAAAAGACCGTTTGAAGACATTTCTTTTAAGTCTTTGTAAAATTCATGTGAATTTTTAAAAAAAATTCATTTAACTAAGCTGATTTTATATCAAACAAACCAGTCTGCTGTTTGAGAGTTTGTGGTCATGAGTTCGATTTAATTATTTTGTTGATTGGGGAAACTCAGCAACAAATTTTGAGTTCTTCCAGAAACTGTCCCCCATTAACTGTGCGCTGTAGTTAAACTTCTGAGGTAAATCATTTTGCAGCACACCTAAGAAAATCTCTTAAAAAAAACCTTAGATTTTCTTCAACTTATTGTGATTGATTATATGTTATTATTTCTTTATTTTCAAATTTTGATTTTGAAACTGAGCAACTTCAAGCATTTTTTTCTGTTATAATTATTTTTAAACTCATTTTTTAAATTTTCTGTTCATTGTTGAAAGATATGTCAGACTTGAGCCTCTTGTAAGTAAAAAGAGCTTAAGAGCCCTGCTTTAATAATAATATGATAATGTTTAAATTTTTTTTTAATTTGATTTCTATGAACAAAAATGTAAAAAATACTGCCTTTAAATGTCCTACATAAGACCTATTACTGCATTTATCGCTGTAAATAAAATATAAAGCAGAGTTTTTGAATTTTCAATGCCGAAAAAAAAATTTTAATAAAAAAAAATCAAAAGTTTTTTATTAAAAAAATTCTTTTGAGTTTTACTGACATGGAGCTTTCGAGTGTTATAAAAATGCTTGACCCAAATGTCCCATTTACCCTATCCACATAATATATTTCTTTTATTTTTTGGCTTTAAGTTTTCCTGGCCCCTTCCATTGTATATTGTATAAGTCCTCGTCTTTAGGAGCCCCATTATATTAATGGCCTAAAGAAGAATAAGGATTTAATAAGAAATCCAACTACTAAAAATATATTACCTAAAACTATTCTTTCACATAAAATTTTTTTTCTTTCTATTTTTTATTTAATTCTTACGAATGATATCACTGAAGAATGAAACAGTGTTTTGGCATTCTAAAATTCTGCAGTCATGTTTTACTAAATTACAAAAAATATATTTAAACCTGAAAAAAAGTACCTATCTAAAATAATGTAATAGAACATAAATAATTACAGAAATTTATTGGGGGAAAAAAAGCTTCAAAGCTCTTCACGCAATTGCCGCAGGTCTCCTTTCTCTCGAGTTGGCTTTGCTGACAGCCAACTAAACAACTGTTGCTTATATGCAGCTAGGTGCAAATTAAAGATGTCATGGCTAAAAATCCTCATTTTGGTGTTTTATGTTTTGAACAAAAGGGTACAATCTCTTTCACTATCTATGTTATCAGTCCATAAAAAATAAAAAAATTAAGAGTCATTCGTTCCTGTTGAAAGCGAAACCATCATTGAATGCTCAGAGGGTTAAGGCTACAAACTAAGTGTAAATAAAGAATTGATTAAAAGTATTATACATTGACTGATTTTCTGGAAAGCAAAAATTGAAAATACTTAGGGAATTAAGTGCCATAGAAAGTTGCCTTCCTCTTCTACCAGCATTATAGCTAATTCATTTGTCTCAAGGCATCTTAATCTACTTGAGGGCCAGTACGAGACAAGGGGTTCCGGCCCACTTAATGTTCCTTCCCTTGCCATTTCTGTGTTTTTTTTTTTCATCTAGATATTGAAATTTGAAGAAAAAAAACTCTAAATATCTAAAACATTCCTTGTAATGATTCTTATTTCTATTTTATAAATTTTTGCCTAACCTTTAGCCTCTTTTCAAACATTTTCTTCTTTTTTTTTTTTTCTTTTTTTTTCAAGGTAGAAATTATTTGAAAAGCTTTCTCAAATTGTATTGCGTGGAATTAGTAAGCACAGAAATCCTTATTCATTCATTTATTTGCTTACCAAACTTTACACTTGTAATACATTATTGCATAATTATTAAAATACAGTCGGACCTCTATTTAACAAAATCACTAAATACCAATAATAAGCTCGTTATATGGAAAATTCGTTAAATAGAAAATCTCCTTTTAAAATACTTAAGCAACACAAAACAGGTTTTAAATTCTTAAACACTAGACATAATTAAAATAACAATTGATACACTTTTATCTTGTAAACTAGTATCTACTATTTATCATATAAATCTTAACCATAAAAGAAATCTGCATGGAAAGCAAGAATAGAGCAAAACATTATGTAAAACCAGTGAAGGAACAAATGTTTCTTTACTGGGTTCATTTCTCAGNTGCTACGGATGAAATCCGTTAATTTGAAGTGAGTTTTTCGTTTGAAGTGCAAACAAAAAGGGAAAGGGAATTTACTGCTTTCTCTAAGATAATTTTTAGACAAAACAGTAATACATTTCATAAAGCAGTGGCTTCGAAAATTAATTCATGGTCATTTCCCCCATTAATTGCTTTAACAAGTTTAAAATGTTCCAAAATATTTTTGAAAATAGGGAAAGTGGATCTCAATGAAAAGTTCGTTAAATAGAAAATTCACTTCGCTGTATGGAAGTTATTTTACGAAGAAATTTCCAAAATGCTCTTGGTTCCTCGAAAAAATTCGTAAAATAGAGAAATTCGTAGAATGGAAGTTCGTTAAATAGAAGTCCGACTGTATTTACATAAATAATTGAATTCAAAGATAAAATTAAAACTTAAAAAGTTTTTCACTAATTCATCAGAAAATTGTGAGATCTCTTGTAAATAAATTCTTAATAATTTTTAAATACTTAATAAGTATTTGAAATTCCTGATTTTTCTGTCCCTGGAAATAATAAATAATTTTCTAAACTAAGAAAAGTTATATTTAGGGCCATTGAAATATAAATTCTGTAATAAAAAAGTTAGAACTTGAATGGAATGTCTATCTCCAAATTGACGAATCAAATTTGTATCGGAACTGAATCAGTAAGGGACCAAAATGGCAAGGGAATGAAGCGGCAAAGCAGCGAGTCCGAAATGTTGCGTACTGTGCCAGTATTATCCTTCCCCACACTGCTCTACTTCTTTTCCACACCGACTGTGAGTAGTCTACTTCTCTTACTTTTCTTCTCTAGTTTGTGAAAAATTATTTTTTAACTAGGTTATTGTTGCCCTATATAAGGATATGCTATCTCATCTGTTAAATTTTAATTGTATTCACTGTATTTGGTTCTCTAAATTTGACGTACAACCCAAACTTGAATCTTAAGCTGTTGCCTTATAGAAATGTATAACTTTTGAATAATACTCAGTATTGTATATCAGTATAATACTTAGTAATGTTGTTTCAGGTCACCCATGATATGTATCTGATTTTGAAGGAGCATGGTTACCCCCTTGAATGTCGTGGATATATCAGTGTCAAAGGAAAGGGAGAGATGCTGACCTATTATTTGACTGGATATGGAGTTAATCAACAAAAAAACAAGCTTCCAACTAAAACTTCCAACATCTGAGGTCTTCCCTGGCATGTGAAATAAAATTTTAAAAAATTCTATTAAACTGCATTTTAATAATGTACTCTCTGCAGTCGAATTCCTCACAAAAATCTTTTTTTTTTTTTTTTTTTGGTATAAAATGTTTTGATTAGAATTTTTTATCCTTATGGAGAGTTCAGCCATACTTATTATTTACCAAATAAAAGGAAATGAGAAAACCACTATGTAGAACTGCCAAATTCAGTTCCATTATAAATGTATGATCAGTACTCTGGAAAGAAAAGAAAAATCTTAGTTTCAGCAATATTTTTTTAAGATTTAAATTTAGAAAAGTATTAAATAATTATTCTGAAATCTAAGTTAAAAAATCATTTGATTTAAATCCTGAGCAGCAGTGTTTCCATATTATTGCATCATTATACTTTACAACTTTTAAAACAACTATTTTAAGTAAGATGGGGCTCATTTCTATATACATCTTTGGCATTGATTACCAAAATGATCCTATTTTTTTGGCAGAAGACATAACCATAAATCTTTTATATTAGCATAATTGTATGGCAACTATTACCATAATAAATGGATGTGGCATTGATTTGGAGTGATTGTTCTGAGATATTCGACTGCAGCCTCACTTCGCCAAAGAATTCCATTTAGAAAGAAATCAGGTTGTGATAATCTTATTGCTGTGTCAATTATAGAACATTCTATCATTTCTTATTTTAAAAAAAAGACTGAAACTTAGTTATGAGATTTGTAATTTATTGATGACCATTATTTTTATAACTTATTATGTTTTAAAATAAGCTTCTTTTTAAGTTTAATTTTCCTGTAGCACATTTTCTTTCTATTTTTGTATTTGTTTTTAGCTGTCAATTTTTTCTAACTCTGTTTCATACTTATTTATATATCTTGTTATTAAATGTTAGCAAGACTATCAGGTGGTCTTTGGTTAAGAATTCCACTTCTGCAAGGCCTGATCATTGAGTTTAGGGTGAGACTTTTCTATAAAATTTATTTATTTACAAAAAATATATGAATGGTGAAATATTGATTGTGTTAGGGTTGTGAATACGATGAACTTGACTTAGTCTGTGCCTGACTTCCACTTCAGATAATTTATTTATATATTAAATAACTTATGTTTAGAAAAAAAATGAATTTATTGTCTCAAGGTTAAAAATAAGATGAGTCAGAACCAGACTTTCAGATAAAATCATTTATTGCTCAGCTAGATTAACTCATATTTAATGATTAAATAAGACAATTTGAAATGCTACTCAATTAAAGAATTATTGCTTGAGTTTGAAAGGCGAGCGTTAAATAGAATTAAGTTTTGTAATTAGAGCACTCAAGCTGTAGCTTATATTTTTTTTAGACAAAAACAAAAAATAGCTCTGAGGTAGGGTCTGCCCTTCAGAGAATATCAATGAATTTTTCACTATAATAGACTCTTAGTAATATGGATTAATCAGGACAATCAACTACTTGGTTTACTGAGAACTCATTTAAGCACCTTCATTAAAGATTACATTTAAATAAATGCTTTAGATGCTATTTCATGATGCAGATACAAATACATTTAAAAAATTCTAATGAACATAGGTTCTGGCAAGTGCTCAGATTTAAAGTTTTTGAGCTCAGAGCTCAAAAATTTACTCAAACTCATCTCTTGCTCCTTACATACTCTTTACCTAGCCCACTCTTCACTCTAAATCAGGCCTTTCATTTTTGTTTGTTTAAATTGCTAACTGATTATGTATAAATTGACAGAGTATTTGAGAACGAACTTAGTAAAAATCTATCTATGCTTCCGTATCAGATCTATTTGCTGTTATAGCAATTTTTAACGAAAAATATTTCATAGTTCTTGTGCAAAGCTTTTAGTGTTTGAATGCATTCATTAATACTATTCTGAAATGAATTTGACTAGTCATAATATCCATTCATTATTCTTGTATTCCCTTTTTAGCTGCTCCTTTAATCAAAAAATTGTGCTCTTTACAGATTTTTTATAAAAGCACGTGCTTTGCTTCTGTTTCGAGCACTGTTTTAAAAATGTATGTATGTATCAGTTCAATATCAAGTTATAAAAGTTTACTCTCACATAGGGATGCCAATGATTTCATATTTTATTATTCAACTGTATGATATATTTAATTTTAAATTATTTTTAGCACTTTTTTTCACAAGTTGAGAAATTATTGTTGATGAAACTGTCATCATTTAATCACTTCCATTTCAAATACTGCCGAAATTATATTATCAAGATAGCATTTTATATTAAATGTGTTCATGACAGCCTTAAAATTACTGTGTCTTAATTCCACTGATTTAAAAAAAAATTGAATTTTCAGGGATTAATCACATTTATTTTCTTTGATAATCGAAGTTTTAAGCTTCATTTTAATGACTAATTTTTAAAAAAATAACTATGTACAGCAGCATTTTAAATCAAATGTCATCTAGGTTTATCTGTTTAATATCATCTAATGTTTAAATCAATGTCAAGGGAATCAAATTTTGGAATTTTTAATTTAATGTTCTTAATTTTTCTAAGGGAATAAAATAAATTTTCCTAAATATGTCATTGAAAGTTAAGTTTTATTTCGATGTTCTACAACCAGTTAAAAAATATTGTATTATTTGCTGAATGTTTCTTATTAAATCAAATTTCAGTAGAATGTTCCTTATTGAGTTTTATTTAAGAGGAATGTTCCACATTTAGTCAAAATTCATAGAATGTTAATTGTGGTGTTTTATTTCAATGGAATGTTCCTCTGTCCAAAGAATATATGTCAAAATTAAATTAAACCTATTTCAATGAAACAATAGAATATTTCATTTTTGGTTGTGTTGTAAAATTGGTATCCCTATTGATTGTGCATTTTCTATTAATTATTTAATTCTCTATTTCTAAGTGTTGATAGATAAGTAGAAGTAGGTAAATTTCAAAAGATTAGAGATCTCGATGACAGTGAGTGTTCCATTCTTGTAGTATATTATTCCTGCATTGTTTACATATGCCTGGAACATAATTGTTATTTTTTTTATTTGATTCCTTTTGTATTTCATGAAACTTGTCCATTTTCAACTACTGATGCGATAGTTTTTATATTTGGCCCTCTCAATTAGTTTTCCATTGTCTTCGAAAGAATATCTTCCAATCTGTGCATTTCTTTTCTGTTTAAGAAAAGTTGTGTGTATAAAGTAATTTCAGACTGAAATGCCCCAATACGAGCTTATTCATTGCTGGTCTATGAATAGATTGATGAATTACAGGGTATGTATTTACCCAACTTTAGATAATTTATACCAGAATATATTTCATAAACCAGGGCTTATGGACAATATAGCAGTTTTTTGAATACCTATACATACATTTAACAAACAACAGCTGAAAGTTTTGAATTAAACAGGGTTGTCTGAAAATAACAGTAGCTAGACCTTGTTATTAGAAAACTACTGGATTAGTATAGCAAAAGTGCACATGGAAGAAAGTGATACAGGAAAGAACTTGTGTAGTAATAATATTTTTAACAAAAATTAATATCCACAAAAAAAAACAAAATATTTAATTTGAAAGCCCTGTTTAAGTTTAGAAAAAATTGTTTTAATATTAAGAAATAATGAATGTAATCATATGTAAGGTAATACTAATAATATAATCATCTTAAAATATTTAGAAATTTTTTGTAACAAATAAACTCAAAATTCATTTCATTTTTTAATCTATAAAATGCTAAATTTTTTTCTTTTTGTGTAAGAAATTTGTCTGCTTTATTTTTTACTATAAATTTTTTTTTAGTTTTCAAAATAAGAAAAAATCAAGAGAACCTGTAATAATTTCAAGAATATTTGGAAATTTTTTGTATCAAATTAAGTCTAACTTTTCTCTATTTTTCTTTTAATTACAAAAACATATCTTATGTTTGGTGCAGTTTAATCCCCTGTTTTTTAATAATAATGTTCCTAATACCTCCTGTTATTTTTGTCACCCTATAAATAATATGTAAAATTTTAATATCATAAATTCAGCATTAGGGACGTTTTTTAAAAATTTTAAATAATCCCGATTGTCAGATATAAGTTTGATTTGGTGACCCTTTTTTGTCTTTAGTATGTATATTCTGTCGCATTTTTCAAAATCTGTAGATTACAAGTATCAAGTTTTTTTTAATTAAGTATTTTAAAAGGAGTGGATAAAGACATCTAAAATAAAAAATTTATTTAAAAAATCTTATATCTATCTTTAAATGATTCCTCGCAATCTATAAATAATGAATTTGTAGTAGCATGAGATACATTTTTTATGGGTATTTTGTTGAGTGGTAGAAATTTTATTTAGTATCTTTACCTAAAATTTTCCTTTCTGCAACTCTAATTCTACCACTAAAGTAATAGTATTAATTGCATTTATTGAATAAAGTTTCTCATTAATGTGCATTTTACACTAGGCAAGTTTAGAAATTCTGTGATCTATTATTTTTTTATGAATTAAAAGCAAGTTTCTTGATTAAATTGAAATGTACTTTGAGAGCTTATTTAGATTAGATCAGTTCCAATAAGAAAATTTGAAGCAAGTTAGTTTCACAATACGATTACAGTCATCACTCAATATGATGACCCCTCTTGTCATACTAAAAAGGATTCTAAAAGGTCGCTTTATCGTGAAAGTACAAAAATGACATGAATAGTTTCTCATATCTAATAAATGCTTCCAGAAACTTTATTTCAACTAAGACACACACATTTCTTGAAATTTACAATTCATTGTATCCTATGAAGAAAAAAAATTTACAAACATTAGGTTAAGAAAGTTTTAAATTTAATGAATGCCAATTTTTGTTTGGAGATGCTTCTTTGTTTATCAATAATTAGTTAATTGTTAATTAATTGTTAAATTAAGTTAATTGTTTATCAAGTAATTTCCCTAATTTTAAAACGAAAGATTACAACCATTTAGAATTAGTAGCGTCAGAGGAATAATTTTTTTGAAATCAAATTAAAGCATTTTGTTTTGAAAGTGTAAAAATGTATTTGTTTTTGAAGACATTTTATTGTAAATGAAACTAAATTTTGATTAATTGTTCAAATAAATGGCTTTGTTCGAACATTCTAAAAGGACGTTAAAATGACATTTCATCTATAAAACAGCAAATGAAACTTTTTGTATTGGTCATTATAATGCTGCAATAGGGGTCGTTCTAAAGAGGGGAGACTGTATTTATTTTATAAATAAACAAATTTTAGTAATTTATTCTAAAATGTTTCATACTTAAGATTTTTATAATAATGTTTAGGTTATAAAGTAAATTCAGTTCTTGTTGATTATGTTCATCAAGATTTTACTACATCAAATTTGTTTTATTTGACAGGTATTCTCCTGTTTCTTGACATAAAATAAATAAAAATGTGCTAGAAAATTGCATTTTAAAAGGAATATATATATATATAAGTCTCTATTTTCTAATATTCTTATGGTAAGAAATTCTCAAAACGCTTTAAAGGTTTAAAGCAGAAAAATTTTGTCAAATTAGCTGTGATATTCAATATTAATTCTTTTTTCTTTTTTTAAATTTAATTGCACTTTTTACATATTTTTCTTAATATATTTGTTGAAACAAATATGCTTTTAAAGTGTGGTATATTTGCCTAATAAAACTTTTGTATGCTTGTATATTTCAAAGTCAACTAAAACTTAATGTATTGATTTCTTACAAATATGTTTCAATCAAATTGAATACCTATTAATATATTTCAGTGTTATAAGTGTAGACTATAACTAGCACTGAAATATATTAATAGTAATTAATTATAAGTGTAGACTTTGTTTCATTGAAATTTTGATTTTTAAAAAAAATGAATGCACTAAAAAGCTGAAAACCAAACTCTAAATTTTTAAAGGTTGCTGTCATTATTAAAACCTAACTTGTGATTTTTATTTTCCTGTGCCTAAATCATATTGAACTTACAAAAAGTGTTATTTTATAAAATTTCATGTAATTATTTTTTATAAGGAAGTAATTATTTTCTTCTTATCTCCACTTCAGCTTCCATTGGCCCAGCAAAAACACTTTCCACAACTTTCTCTTCTTTTTTTTAATTTAGAAATGACATCATTACAATATGAACAATCAGCATCTGATGTGTTTTTATCCTCTTCATAGGAATAACCATCAATCAAGGACTTGGTTTTTTATTTTATTTATTAAACTGTTTTGTTACATTGGTTTTTCACACAATTCCCTTTTTTTTTAAGTCATTGCAAAGCAACATTCTCTTACTTGATAGCAAATTTTTTTAATATTCTTTTTTCTTTTCTTCATCCTGATATTCTAAATTGACTTTACAAGAAGATATTACCTACGTATAGTACCTGGCATGGTACCTGGGCATAGGGTAACTGGTTGTACCCCATCTTGCTGTACTTGATCTTCTGTCAAGAGGAGAGGTTATTAAAAGAAAGCAGAACCATGCTTCTACTGGACTCAATCCTTATTACTCTTTGGAGTATGAATTCCTTAGTAAGCATATTATAGGCTGGGGTAAAAATAATTTTTTTATAACCAATATTTTAGGATATTTAAAAATAAAAAAAACATTTGAGAGTTGACACAATGAACAACAATAATACACCAATATAGCAGCTTTTTATTTCTTACCTATTAGAATGTAACTCTCTTTGATAGAACTCATTTTGCCAGTCTCACTCTCCCATATACTACATGTGCTCCTGACTATCCAGTCTAGAGTGACATATGGCTAGATAGGACAATTTTCTTCTCCCATACAATTAAAAACGCATATTTAATATTGAATTTAACATTTGATTTATTATTTTTAATAGTAGCATAAACGTTTTAAGATAAATGCAAAAGTACTCACGTTTATTAATAAATAACAAAAATGAGACAATTTATGACAAATGTACCTAATTTTTTCCTCCTTTCTTTCCCACAATAACAAATGGTCACTTCCATTTTTCCTCTTTTTTTTTTAATGTACTGGTAATTACTAGGCCAGATTACAGGCTGCCTACTGTATAAGGGGGAAAAACTTTTTTCTTGCCCCACGAGCATGGTCAAATAATGTTTTATTTCATTCCTAATTTCTAGTCTAATATTATTTCGAAAGGTTGTTGTGGCTCAAAGCTGCAGAATAAATTTATTTATTTTACGATTAAATTGCTCATATTTAAGTCATGCTGAAAAGCTCTTAATTTTAAAGTATATTGGCATTTGTATGGTTGTCAAAATGCTTTCATTGATCTCTAATTAAATACTTCTCTTTATTTATGTTTCATTTGATTTGCTATTGAGATCCTGTAATGGATGGGAGTTTATTTTGATTGACATGTTTGTTTTAAACAACGAGATCATTTTACGTCATCGTAATGAAGCTTGAGTGCTTTAAGTAATTTTATAATTTTTTTTAAGAAATAGATGTAACCCATATGCAGTATTTCAAACCAAAGTACCCTTTCTAAAAGGTACCTCTATTGATTTTGAAATGTAATAGTAACAAGTTTCTATATCCGGAATGGAATCTTGATGTATCCTCTGTTTATGTTATGTTTGCGTGAAGATATTCTAAAGTTTTATGGGTGTAGTTGTGAGGAGGGAGGGGTTGTAGGAATTCTAGAAAGTTTTTTACTGAGATTTTGCAATTCATAAGAATTTTATATATTCTAAACAGTCATGAATATCAAGACATAAATAATGCCCTGTTTTGAGTGTTTTCAGCTATAGTTAAATGGATTGAATGGTGGGCAGATTCTAAAAAGTTTAATTGCAGTATAAGATGGAATATTTTTTAAGCTTAAATGTGAAAATAAATTCGAAGCAGTAACCGCGAAATCCCCTTTGACTTCGAGTATCACCTATGCTTAGCTCCGTACAGTTAATCAGCCATATACTTGTGTTCGAATCTAATGCTGTTCTTATCAAGGAATTATTTAGTTAATCAATCTATATAATTGCAGTAATGTATCAATAAATAATTTACTCTTTAAGCAGTAGAGGAAAAGATCAACATAGTGCGTTCTCTGAATACTTGTTATTCACATGAATCACCAGTTGTAGGAACTTCTAGCTATGAAAGCGTTTATCTCAATATCTTGTTTTAAAACTTAACCAACTTTTGAAACACGATGCTGTTAAATCTTGATATTACAAATAGAGAGATTGAAAACTTCGTGATATTGAAAATAAAATATTTTAATTGAATATTGAAAATTCTTATAACAATTCAGTTCAAATAATAACTGTGCCGCCATTTTAAAAGTTGTATAACATGTATTTACTTTTTTAAAAAAATTTATTTCAAATTATATTACCTTTTATTTTTTTCTATTGATTTCATGCTTTGCAGAAGTGAGTGCCTGATTCCTCATTTTCTTCTTCTGATAATTCTCTTGATTTTTGTAACCTCTTTTAATATTTCCGATTCTTTCCAGTCTTAAGAATGAGTAT